TTCTGGTGCCTGAGGAAAATGTTGAGTGTCCTACTCTGTTTCTGGGGGCTTCATCAGCAGAACCCAGCGCACCTTTATTCTGGCTGAAGGGCAGCTAATTTCATGCAAGTCATGTTCTCACTCATCACACGTAGCCTTTAAGAGTGAGTTTACTTCCTCAGAAAAATGGCAGTGGGTTTCAGAACTATGTCTGCTTGAAATTAAAATTAAGGAGGGAGGGGCCCTTCACCCTTCTTATATTTTGTTATTTCCTAAGCATGCTCTTATTCTCTTGGATTTAAATTACTGTACAGACTCTATTTACTTAACTCTTTAAAATCATAATCATAATATTTATGATTATTTAACCCTTTTAGTCCATGATGTTTAATGAAGCAGGATAGCATGATACTTAGCTTCACTAGTTCCTGCCCTGTGTTTCTTGTGTTTGTCCAATAGTTACCAACTGAGAGTCTGGGATGTGCCAGTTACTATTCTAGGGGTTAGGGTATAGCATTAAAATGGGTTGGCACAGTCCTTGCCCTCAAGGAATTCACATTTTAGTCACAAAATAATAAAAAAAAAATCAATGCATGATATAATTTTCTATGGTGCCAAGTATTCAAAACAAACATAAAAATGAGATAAGGGTTAAAACACTGTTTATATTTTAATGATATATAGGACAAAGATGTCAGACGTGAACGCAAGTGGAACTGGTGAAAGTTGCACAAGAAACACTGCTTGCTTGCTTCCTCAAACACTCTTTGTGGCCACCAACTTTGCCAGGCTGAGTGGAGCCCCACCTAGATCCTCTCTAGGGACTCGCTTTGCCAGCTGCCCTGAGCATGCTTCTGGCAAACGCCTTCAGCTGTCCTGCCCTTGGGGACTGCCTCAGCTGTCCTCAGCAGCCTTGCCCTGGCTCACACCCTTCCTTGCTGCCCATAGGCAGCCACTGATGGACAAAGCAGTAGCAAGCCTAGCCATTTCTGTGCAGCTTGGAGAGCTCCCTTTTGGCCCCAGAGCTGGACGCAGGGCTGGGTGAGGCCTCCATGCAGCTGGTACCTCAGCTCAGCCCTAGCCTCTGCCTGGCACGTCCTCCTTGTTCTCACAGATGTCAATTCCAAAGGAACTTTCTGATTAGGAAACGAGTCCACCAGGCTCAAGTGTATTAGCTGTGCTTCCCAGGGATTATGAACCGCAACCACAAACGATCTCTGGACCTGCGCTGTAACTTCTGTAGGGAAATAAAAATGGGCCTGCCTGTAGCAGCGGCTTCTAGAGAGAGAGAGAAAAACAAGAATGGGGGAAAGAGGGAGAAGACAGGGCAGGGAGAGAGGGTGGGAGAAGGGGAGAGAGAGAAACCTTTGCAAGGAAGAATCTTCAGTGGAATCCAATATATGATATAAGAGAGAAGCAGATTTTGTCCTGGGAGAGGTGGGTGAGAATTGCTTCTTTCCATTGCGGGAGTAGAAGTGTAGAATTTTAGACCTGCAGGGGATCCTGAAGAATCACATGGAACAAATCTTTACAGATGGAGAAACTGAGGTTCAAAAATATGTTGTGACTTGTCTGAAGTAAAATAAAACTAATAGTGGCAGTCAGAAGTATAAACAAATTTCCTCATTTCTACAGTCCAATTTTCAACTTGTGTTCTTGAGTGTAAGATCTTATTTCATTTATGCTCCCAACATTTACTGGTTTTTATTTTAGCTCCGATGGTTTCTTGAATATAAATCATACTTGAACATCAAGTCTTCACATGTTACACATGCTGTTTTCTAGGCTATATGCATTTGGAAGTTAATGCTTTCAAAAGTTTCTAAACAGATGTATTTTGATTCTTTTCCGCCATATATCTTGTATACACAGTTGCCCTTGGTACATCTGTGGATTCAACCAACCTCAGACTGAAAATATTAAAAAGAAACCAACCCACAACTCAACTGTAACTGTACTGAATATGCACAGACTTTTCATTTATATAGCTCTTGGGTTATATGTTATGAGGAAACTAGATGACTTCTTTAGGAGGATGTGTACAGATTATTACATCATTTTATATAAGGACTTGAGCGTTGGCAGGTTTGGGCATCTGTGTGAGCACTTTGTGGGGAGGGGGTGGTGCTAAGGTCAACTTTCTGTAGTTCCTGAGACATCACTATATTTGATAATTACAGATATAAATAATTAAACTTGTTATATGTGTTATAGCAAGTTCTTCCTGACATGTGTTTTTGTGAATAAATGGGTCAAATCCAACTATTTCCTATCCCAGAATATAAACCATGCCTCTTCTTCTGAAGTGATTACATTGGATTGAGAAAAGTACTGAAAGACCTACATTATCTTAAGATAGCTTTGCAATGGCACGACAAAATGAAAATTAGACCCCCAGGGGTTATACATCAGGCTTGTTTTTCTTGCTGGTTATGCCAGTAATATTTTTCTTTTAATTTTGAGTGTCTACCTGGAAAAAAAAAAAGATGCAACTGAACTGCTCTCCCTACACCCATGGAGCTTCAGAAGGAATTAAAAGGTGAGAGCCAGACTTGTCAGCAGCAATGACAGCTTTGTTCCAAAGGTGAGCCCAGCAAAACTTTCTTTTCCACTCTTTAAATAAATGCACGATCAGTTGCACTTGAGTGCTTAGCAACTTTCTGCATTTGTCTGACATTACTCCTTTTCACCAGCTGGTAACTTTGGTCACTGCTGTTGCTCTGGTTCCATAACTCACTGCCCTCATGGCACACCCTAAGATCTTGTGATGTTCTGCCTTCAACATACCAGAGTATTTTAAAAAAGTACAAAAAAGTGATGGCGCAATTGGCTAATCCTTCCTTTTCAAGCACCAGGATCCCATGTGGGTGCCAGTTCTAATCCTGGTCGCCCTGCTTCCCATCCAGCTCCCTGCTTCTGGCCTGGGAAAGCAGCCGAGGACGGTCCAAAGCCTTGGGACCCTGCACCTGTGTGAGAGGCCCAGAAGAGGCTCCTCGCTTCACACAGGCTCAGCTTTGGCCACTGTGGCCCTTGAGGAAGATCTTTCTTTCTCACCTTTTCTCTGTAAATCTGTCTGTCAATAAAATGAATAAACCTTTTTAAAAAGATTTAAAAGATTAATTTAAACAATAATACCTTTAAAAAGATTTAAAAGATAAAAATTCCTTTTTATTCATTTTTTAAATTCAAGAATTATTTATTTTTATTGGATACAGAGACGAGGAGAGACAGAGAGGATCTGTCCGATGGCTCACTCCCCAAACGGCCGCAATGGCTGGAGCCTGAGCCACTTGGGAGCCAGGAGCCAGGAGCTCGGCAGGACACTGAGATGAAGACTCAAAGTCAGGATCTGACTCAGATTCTCCGGGGTGGATGTTGATGGCTTCACTGTCCTCTCAACTACAGGACCAAATGCTTACCCTCTAATTGCATTTCCCATTTAGACATGATCTTGGCTGCTGTTACGGTTCAGCTGGTTTTGCTTTTGCTTTGTCGCAGGGTCTTTCTATTTATTGCTTTTTCACTCTCTCCCCTGTCTTAGCCCAGCTTAGTCAGCTTCTACCTGAGTTGAATGTTTCAGCCTAAATATGATTTCATCAGGCATGTGTACATTATTTTCTGCTAGATGATGTGCTCTTCTTATCTAGTGTTATAACACAACATATTCTTATTTGTGTGATTACTTATTTAAACTCCCTCATAGAGAATAAGTTCCAGGAAGCCACAATGGCTGGTTTATTTTTGTAGTCACAGGGCCCACCATTGGTCCCAGCACCCAGCTGAAGAGCAACCAACAAATAATTAGATTAATCAGTTCCAGGGACTAAATGCCTGCCTCCACCATTCATGACTGGATATGAATGCATTCTCTCTGCCCTTCCTCCTTTCCTATTCAATTTCCTTTTTCTCCTAGGAAAAATGAACAACTAATAATCACCTTAAGGAAAAAACATAGTAGATATGTTCTCACTGAAATTTCAACAAGGTCTCTGTCTTTCATTAAAGTAAGTACACGTGGCCCAGCAATGGTAGCCTAGTGGCTAAAGTCCTTACCTTGCATCCGCCAGGATCCCCTGTGGGCACTGGCTCATGTCCAGGATGGCCCACTTCCCATCCAGTTCCCTGCTTGTGGCCTGGGAAAGCAGTTGAGTATGGCCCAAACCTTGGGACCCTGCACCCACGTGGGAGACCAGAAGAGGCTCCTGGCTTTGGATCAGCTCAGCTCTGGCCATTCCAGGCACGTGGGTTAGCAGATGAAAGATCTTCCTCTCTGTCTCTCCTCCTCTCTGTATATCTTTCCAATAAAAGAAAGAAAGAAATCTTAAAAAAAAAAATAAGTACATGTATTCCTTGCATATACCTCAAAAGGAAAAAATCGTGCGGCATCGTTTTCTGTATTTCCTTATTGTGGCCTATTTAGCTAAGGACTTTCAAAATACTTTTGGGGAACTCTGGCAAAGATAAAGCTGTAAAATAGTCACCTTTTAGAAACTGCTTTGAAATAAGCTTTTCACATTTTTGAATAAAGTATTTCAATTATGACAGAGTTCTACAAAATGGAGAGCCCTAATTGGAAAAGTAAACAAACAAACAAAAAAAAGCAGAACCATTCAATCAAAAGTGAGATTATTTATGCCAGCAGAAAGCCTCAGAGGAATTAAAACAAGTTAAATGGCAGAAAAGATACAAATTATCTCAATAATAGTTGGTTAGGAATAGAGATTTAAAAGCATGCTTCTCAAAGAGTGGGCTTCTAAAAGGGTTAATCAACAGGTTACACCTGGAAAGAGTGGACAGTCCACAGCATTAAGGTTGCTGGTTTAGAGAGACCAACTTATTGGACTCTGAAGATTCATGAATTCATGGATTTTTATTTATTGAGGATGATGGACAGGCATCAGAGTCATGATGACAGGTACTAGGTTTAGTGTGAGACTTCGGCTGCCATAAAGTAAGCTCTGGGGTCGGAGCTGGCTTTGCCCTGACTGACACACTGCTGTGAAGAGCCCCACGACCCTTACCTTCTTGTGCACGACAGAGGAGCTGGGACTGAGCGTGTTTTCGTCATCATGCATCATGACGAGCTCAGAGCTGCTTTCGTCCATGACCTCCTGCATGCTGTTGACACTGCTGCTCTGGCTGCCTGTGCTCACGGACATGCTGGGGATGGAATGGTTGCTGCCCAGGCTGTCCATTTTTCTGCTCAGGCTGGTTCCATGTTCATTGTCCTATAAAGAAATGGCGCACAAGGTTAAAAAAAAAGTGCCAACCCATTGACTCAGCTATTAAACACACTCAATTTTGCAGTACCAAGTTCCTTTTCTGCCAATCTGCAGAGATAAAACTTTTTATATATTGGCTCCCCTACTTCCCCATCACCTCCAGACATGTCAAAATCACTTCTATGCTTTCCCCTAAGAGGCCATTTTGTACACAGGTCATGGGGCTCCAAAGACTGCTATCCCAGGCCTTTCCCCTGTCACACACAACTATTATCATATTGCTATGCAGTAAGCAGAAGGAGGCCAGGATTGTAACAGGAGCTTTGAAAACATCTAGGTGCTGGTAAGCCTGCTGGCTACTAACTGGTGCCCCCAGGATGCCCGTAAATACAGAGAAGGTCACTGCAAACTGAAGTATGGTGGAAAGAGTTTCCAGGGATTTGATAAGCAGTGGGTTCCAAGGCAGGTCATTACTGACTAACTTCATATTTAAGCAAGCGTATTAATTCTACTGTCCTGGACAGGTAATTAAATTCTGCCTCCCTCAAGCAATTCTAGCATGCTTACCTCTGTAATCGTATTAAGATGTATGTGTTAACTAATGCTGGCATTCATCACTATTGGTCCAAAGTGGTAAATAATCAGAACATAAAATTTACCCAACACAGTGGGATATCTTTTGATCACAAGATTAATCCACTGAGCTACCAATAAGCCCTGTTTTAAAAGAACCATACTGTATGTATATGATGTCAATGAACTGTTACTTAGCCACTGTAACACTCACTGATAAAGAGGATTCAATGGGTGATTATGGTAGGCACTATATTATATTTTTGATATCTCTATTTTTCCAATTAAAAGGGATCATTTCTACATATGGACTCAAAAGATTTTATACTGTAATTCAGTTTGCTAAGTTTCATTTTTATAGCTCTTGGTAAAATAATTCTATTTTATAATAAGATGCTAAAGAAGACTCATTCATTCTTTCCTTTTAAAATTTAGCTTTAGAAGAAGCAGGAATAGTTCTTTTGTTCAAGATTAATTCTTGCAGATACTGTTTCTGTCCCACCCGTGTCCTGAGAACCTGCTTCTTTAGCCACATCTCCTTCTTACTGGGTCAGGCATCCATCTCTTCCACATACAAATATAGGGGTCTGTCCCGTGGATATGTACTGCTTGCTCTACATGCTGCTTCTCTTACTTTTATTTTCTTAGCCATGCTCTTGAATCTTAAAAAATTAGTTTTTTTTTTGCTGTCTCTACTTTTACATTTCCCACTTATTCCACAAACCAAGTAGTTATTGTTTGTCCTACCTCGTCATATAAAATTGCTTTTACTAAATTCCGCAAGGATGAGCTAAGTGTAAGACTAAAGAGATAACCATTTTTCTCTGGTCCCCATCTGAATTGTCTGAATCGACCTCTCTGCAATCACTCCTTGCAGCTGTGTACTTTCTCAGCAGTTCTGATGCCTTTATGTCCTGGGCCTTTTTTCACTTGTATGACATGGGCATTCTTTCCATTCTCCATTCAACCCTTTGATGCATTATCATACTAATGTTCTTGATCTCCAACCAGCTACCCTTTTGTCTAGATCTCTAGCCAGTTTTTAACTGAGAACAACACCATTCAGGTGTGCCAACCACCATCACCTTTGCTTTTAGTTCTTTTTAAGTGATTTGAATGAGAAACCAGAAGTTGTCTGTCCCTTTGGAAACTTTCCTCTGCCTATATGTCAGCAGTGTATGACACCATTCTTCTCTGCTTTGCTGCACTTGGCCGTATCTGGCTTCACATGCATGGTAGTTTCTGAATGTCTCTTTCGAGATCTTGCATGTCTCTTAAGGGAGGGAACATCCAAAAATCATCCAAAGAGCATTTCAGAGGGTCTAGGTCAGAACCTTTCCACCGGGCACCATGTGGTGCCTGCTGAGATACACTACACCTACTTCTTCGTCCTCCTGTGACTCATTCAGGGGTCCATTCCGTGTTTCTTGGAAGAGGATTTTCTTCATTTTCCGGTACTGTAGGTTATCGAGCTCACGCACAGCATCTTTCGTCCTCTGAATGAGGTCAATGAGGACTCGTGGGGGCCGCTCTCTTCGAATAAAGTCATGCTGATTAGAGGAGAGGAAAAATAAAACAAACTAATGATGAAGAAACAGATTGTTTGGTATAAGGTTTAAAGATAAATTAAAATGCATCAAATGGTCCTGCTGATTTTTGAGAAATAACAAAAGATGGCTTTCACATCAAGTCGTATAACTTCTCACATTGCACCAATTTCATAATAAGTTAACTATATTTTTTTTTTCTAAGCCTCATTTTATGGACTTTATTATAACATTATGTGAAAATCCTTTTTGAAAAATTATATAGTGCTCGGTACAGCTAAAGTCCTTGCCTCGTATGTGCCAGAATCCCATATGGGTGCCGGTTCTAATCCTGGCAGCCCCACTTCCCATCCAGCTCCCTGCTTGTGGCCTGGGAAGACAGTGGATGAAGGCACAAAGCCTTGGGACCCTGTACCCACGTGGAAGACCCGGAAGAGGCTCCAGGCTCCTGGCTTCAGATTGGCTCAAGCTTGGAGAGTGAATCAACGGATGGAAGATCTTCCTCTCTGTCTCTCCTCCTTTATATATGTCTGACTTTCCAATTTAAAAAATTATATAGACTTAGGGTATACATTATGATGGTCCAATATACATATATAGGGTGAAATGAATGCTACATGGTAGCAAATTAGCATGGTGATCATCTTGCAAAGCTGCATTTTTTTTCTGATGTTGGTAAAAATGCTTGAAACCTAAAAACTTAGTCGATTTTGAGGATACAATACAATGTTATTATCTATAGCTCTCATGCAGTACATCAGATTGTAATAGTTGTTAATCCGACCTATCCAAAACCTGTACCCTTTGACCTTCATCTTCCCATTCCCACTCTACTCCACCTTTCTGTTCCGTTTCTGTGCATTGGAGATGCCTTTTCTTTTTTTTTCAGAATTTATAAATGAGATCATAATTTATTTTTCTTTCTGTGCGTGGTTTATTTTACCTAGCACAGTGCCTTTCAGGTTCATCTATGTTACAACCAAGAGCAAAGCCTCCCTTATATAGCATGAATAATATTCCATTATCTATGTATACATATATATAAGTATGTATGCATGTGTGTGGTGTATATACATGTACTTTTATCACAACTTCCTTATTCTTTCATCTGCTGACAGATGTTTAGGTTGTTCTGTAGCTCGGATACTGTGAATGATTTTGTAACAAACCTGAATACTAAATAAACAGAGAAGGATCTTAGGGTAATTCTATTTATAATTTTTTGAGAACGCTCCATACTGTTTTCCCACAATAGAAAGCACATCACATCTACATTCCCACCAATATGTCTAAGGATTTCCTTTTCTCTTTTCTCCACGCCCTTTCCCACATTTATTTCTCATCTACAAAAAATTTTTTTTTTCACTAAATAGAGGGTTCCCTAAATGTACACAGCACATATATCCAGGGTATAACCAAAGCTGAGAGCAAGGAACCCAGTACAGGTCTCCCACTGGGTGGCAGGCACCCAACCAATGAAGGCATCACCCACTGCCTCCCAAATTCTGCATTAATAGGAAATGGAATCATATTCTACCTTCGTTTGTGTTTCTGCCTTATGAAATACATGTTGTCTATATTACTTATTCAAAATGCATAAGGTAATAGTTTGTTTAGCCATGCAAAATAAACAGATTTTGGGGGGTGGCCAACTTATTTCTTTAACAAACCAACTTATCAACTGTTCGTTTATTTGAGAGGCAGAGAAAGAGAACATATAGCGTGTGTTTGTCAGAGAGACAGGGAGGCAGGAAGGGAAGGAAAGAAAGAGAGCGAGCATGGGTTCCTAAAGATTGTTTCACTGTCCAGATGACTGCAGAGGGTCCTGTGTGGACAAGCAGGAGTCATCCAGAGTCACACGATCAGAATCTGGGAATGTAGCCAGTTTCTCATGTGAGTGCAGGGCCCTAACTACTGCCGCCTTCCAGGGTCTGCATGAGCAGGAAGCTGGACTCGGAAACCAGAGGCAGGAAACCCAGGCAGCCTGACATAGGACAGGCACCTCACTCTTGACATTTAAAATCAGTCTTATGCATTTTATTTGTTTGAGTGGCAAGGGAGAGAGGGAGAAAGAAAGAGATCTCTCCTCTGTGCTGATTCACACCCTACAATTTTACAAACACTTGAGGCTGGACCAGGGCAAAGCCTGGAGCCAGCAACTCAGGTCTCCCTCAGGAGTGGCAGGGATCTTAAGTACTTCAACCATTACCTGCTGACTCCCAGGTGCACATTTGCAGGAAGTTCTAATTGAGTGGCAAACTGGGCATTCCAATATGGAATGTGGTTTTTCCAACAATGTCGTATCCTCTAGACCCAATGACCACCCCTGAACTGCCCTTTTAATGACTAGGCTATTTTGGAGGCCAATTTAAATTTCAATATTCAATCCTTTTATCAGTCTCTCCAGTCCTCAATGCACTCTTCCTGCTTCATGGCCTACATTACTCCCTCTCCCTTCCTCTTTTTTTTAACCCCTTTAGTTTCATCTTTAAGTTGGCTATATTTTATTATTGAGCAGTTTTTAAAAGGAAAAACTCACAAGGGTTACAGTGCTTACAGTTCTGAGGTTAATAATTGCAGACCATCTTGGCTAGGTGTGAGTCGTGGTTCACATTTTCTCTGAATTCTCTAAATGTTGGTCAATTATTTTCTGGCCTTGAATGTTCCTGGAGAGGTAGGTCGGAAGCCAATTCATTTTTTCACCTCAAAAACATGCTTTTTCGGTCAGTCTGCCTATATGAATCTTTAGAGTTCAGAAATGTCTCTAAATATGATTTATTCATCACTGAAGGTCAGTGTCAAGGTCTGTTTTCTTTGGGGCTCTCCCTAAATGTTACTTCTCTAGAAAGCCCTTCCCAATTCCTTATGGAAAACAGTAATTCCTGTCACTCTTGATCCCTGACCTTGACTCATTTTTCTGCTAAAAATTTACCCTCACATTGCATTATATCATTTATTTGCTTTTTAAAAAGATTTATTGTCTTTATTGGAAAGTCAGATATATAAAGAGGAGGAAAGACAGAGAAAGGTCTTCCGTCCGAGCTGTGCCTCTCCGAAGCTAGGAGCACAGAGACTCTTCCAGGTCTCCCACGAGGGTGCAGAGACCCAAGGATTTGGGCATTCCTCGACTGTTTTCCCAGCCACAGGCAGGGAGCTGGATGGGAAGTGGGGCTACCAGGATTAGAACCAGTGCCCATATAGGATCCTGACACATGCAAGGCGAGGACTTCAGTTGCTAGGCTATTTGTTTATTTTCTTAAAATATAGGTTCTGTGGTAGACGTTTGCCCATGCATTAAAACACTGGTTTAGATGCCCATATTGTACCCTAGTATCTGACTATGACACATGCCTCCGGCTCCTACCAATGCTGGGAGATGACAGTGATGACTCAGGTGTCTGAGCTTCTACCACTTACACAAGAGACCTGGACTGGGCTCCCAGATCCCAGCTTCAGCCTTGGTACAGGCCTGGATGTCATGGGCATGTGTGGAGTGAATCAGCAGACAGAAGCTTTCTCTTCCTCTCCAATACATAATAATTTTAAAAGAATTAAGATGCCACAAGAGCAGTAGTGATATCTTCCTTTTATATTACTATACTCTCAGTACTTAAGAGTGGTGTTTTACCATCAGAAAATACATATGTTCTTAATAAATAATGAGCCCATTTGATTTGGTCAGGCAAATAAAGACCAACTCAAATCAGAAAAAGATCCAAATTATTTATTTCCATAGGGGTTTCCTGCAGGTGTATCTTTAAACATCTGCCTTTTCTAGATTGCTTTAGATCTCTTTTGTCTTCCACTGATGTTATATTCCCCCTCATCATTTTTTGAGCTTTTATTTATACCGTTTAATTTGTTCTAATTCCTTAAGCTTATCTGCCACTGGACATATTGCAAATGGACTGGTTTACATTGTTAGTTAGTTGCCTGTCACTTCAGTCTCTGCTATGCCATTTCTTCTCCCTTGCTTTCTTTACCTTGGCCCACTGGATTTTTAAAAATCTTTTTGCTGTCTGTCACCCTATATTTTATCTTTGACTCAATGGAGTAGCTTAATGGAATTCTTTTTCTTTAATTTTAATATAGTCCACACTGAATTTTCTGCTTTATTCATTCCTGTGTTTTGTTTGTTTTTACAATATTTGCCCATTTCAAAGTAACAAACACCTTACGTTGTGCTTCTGGTATCTCGTCCTGATTACTGTAGAAATGTGGAGTTACTCCCAAAGCAGACGAACTAACTCAAGTTTCAACCACAAAAGAGATCAAGGCCAAGTTCTCTGCCCAGCTGCTTCTATTATCCTATCCCCTTAGCCTGCTGATGCCAAGACAGAAAAATTTACTTTTAAGTGGAAAAACTAGTTAGCTTTGAATTTACCTCTTCAGGAACATTCAAAGCCAGAAAACAACAGAATAATAGTAGCAGAGTTTTAAGGAAAAGAAAAGATAAACCAAGAACTGGTAGCTCAGCAAAGGTGTCCTTTAATTACAAAGGCAGGTGACATTTTAAAGCAAATTTAGGTTATATGTTCCTTCTGAATGTTTCCTAAAACATAAACAATAAAATATCTTGCCAGGGTTGGCACTGTAGCATAGCTGCTAAATCCACATCGAACGATGTCAGCATCCTACACAGGTACCAGTTCGAGTCCCGGCTGATCTGCTTCCAATTCAGCCCCTTGCTAATGCAGCTGGGCAAGCAACAGAGGATGGCCCAAGAAACCGGGGGTCTGAAATCACATGGGAGACATGGAAGAAGCTCCTGGCTCCTGCTTTGAATTGGTGCACCTCTGGCCGTTTTGATCACTCAGGGAGTGAACTAGCAGATGGAAGATTTCTCTCTGTCTCTCTAACTCTTCCTATCTGATAAATATATAAATCTGAAGAAAAAAAAAAGAAAAATCTTGCGAATGGAAAGATGAAACAAGTAAACGAAAATTATTGGAAAAGACACATATATATGTAGAGAGAGAAAGAGAGAGAGAGAAGGGTTAAAGAAAATCTCAAATAAAAAAGAAAAATAAATAAATAAATAAAATGAAAAAAATAAAAGATATTTATATTGTAAAAGATCCCCACATATTACTTTGATATCGCTAGAATACTCTACCTATGTATAAAGTCTGTAGTAAAACACTCCATGAAAACAGAGACTCAAAAATACCATGTCTACACCAAGTGGATGAAGCACAGGACAGGATGCAATGTGAATGCCTGCTTTACATAAGCACCCTAGATCTTTCCTTCCGGAAGCTTTGGTGATGAGCCGGATAAGAACCTGACAGGTGGCACTGGAGCCACTGGGAAAACCTGTGCCGAGAGCTCTGAGTCCCAGCTCTCATGTAGACCTAAGTCAGGGGAGCATCACAGTGATGATCAGAACAAGGGGAGGACCATCCTATGATAGGAGGCAAAAAAAGGAGAAGGGGAGAGAAAAGGAAAAACAGCGCAAAGACTTCCCAGGGAACACACAGTGCTAACATCATTATTCCCTGGTCCCTATTTCTATATAAATGATAAGGCAGCATGTTCTAAAGCAGCGTGTTATGGTGCGCTGTCACAGGACTAATTTGCCATATTCCATAAAACAGGACTTCAAGTTCCCATTCACAAATACAAAATTGGAAGATTACCTGTAACAGTTCCGCTGATGTTGGCCTTTCCTGAGGTATTTTTTGCAGGCAGTAATCGACGAATCTCCTAAAGAAGTCTGTCCTGTGAGTGCGGAGATGCCAAAAGATCACACAGTTAGGGTGTGTACAGCAGTGATAACTTAAAACAACTTGCATGCAAGGGAAAAGTTCACATTTTTAGGAGACTTTTTTAAGTTAAATATTTTAGAATTTCATAGACACAGCACTCCCAAGTTTGTACTATCTACAATGAATTCTTTTAGATGATGAATGTGGATACAGCTTCAGATTAGTCAGCATATAAATAAATGTACTTCAATAAAAGGACATAATGTCAAATTCTAACTTATGAAGGGACTTAAAAGTTCATGGGAAACAGATCTGGAGCCAGAGCTAAGCAGATCTGGAGCCAGGAGCCAGGAGCTTGTTACGCGTCTCCCATGTGAATGCAGGATCCCAAGGCTTTGGGCCGTCCTTGACTGCTTTCCCAGGCCACAAGCACGGAGCTGGATGGGAAGTGGAACAGCTGGGACACACACTGGCACACGTATGGGATGCAGTTCTTGGAGGTGGAGCATGAGCCAGTTGAGCCGTTGTGCTGGCTGGCCCCTTGTTCATTCTTTACAATTGCCCATTTTCCCATAACTCTTGCAGCCAAATAATTACAAAAATGTCACTGTTTTCAGCCAAAAAGAAAAAGAAAACCCAAAACCCATTTTCTAAACAAATAATAAAATATATTCTATTTCAATAAAAGTAATTTTTAAAATTTTATACATTTATTTAAGCCACAGGTAAAAGAGGAGAGGGAAGAGAGAGAGCAGGTCGGAGAGAACACTCCCATTTGCTGTTTTACTCCCCAAGTGTCCAAACTGGTCAGGGCTGAGTTGGGTCAAAATCACCCAAAGCAGGAACTGGGAACTTATTTCAACAATCTCTCCTGAACATGCTCACATACACTAATACTAAAACAAACAACTAGATAGATAGATAGATAGATAGATAGATAGATAGATAGATAAAGCAACTGATCAATGGAAAACCATGACACCAGAGAAGGTGCTTTATCTCCGCTGAGACGTGACAAGAGCTAAGGTGTTCACACAGGATGCTTAGGACAGCACATCCTACATGTGTACATGCTCTCAGTGGGACTTCAGCTATGACACACATGCAGAACACACAGTACAGGGCTAGTATGGCCGATCCTTAACCTGTGATGCTGGCAACCCATATGGGTGCATGTTCATGTCCTGCTGCTCCACTTAAAAGAATTATTTATTTTTATTGGAAAAGTAGATACACAAGAGAGAAGTATATACAGAGAGAAAGATCTCGTGACCACTGGTTCACTCCCCAAGTGGCCGCACTGGCCAGAGCTAAGCAGATCTGAAGCCGGGAGCCAGGAGCTTGGTACATGTCTCCCATGTAGGTGTAGGTAGCTTGTTATGTGTCTCTCATGTGGGTGCAGGGTCCCAAGCACCCTGTGGACTGTCGTCAACTGCTTTCCTAAGCCACAAGCAGGGAGCTGGATGCAAGTAGAGCAGCTGCGACACGAACCAGGCCCCATAGCAGAAGATCCCAACACAAGCAAAGTGAGGATTTTAACAACTAGATTATTGCACTGGGCCCCTGCTCCACTTTGGATTCAGATACCTTGCTTATGGCCTTGGAAATCAGTGGAGAACGGCTCAAGTCCCTGAGGCCACTTCACCTATGTGGGGGACCCAGAAGAAACTTCTGCCTCCTGGCTTTGAATCTGTTCAGCTCAAACTTTTGTGGCCATTTCGGGTATGAACCAGAGGTTAGAAGACCTTTCTGTCTCCCTACTCTCTCTTTTTAATCTGCCTTAAAAAAAAAAAAAATACTGAAGGGCCCAGCGGTGTGGCTTGGCGGCCAAAGTCCTCACTTTGAACGCGCCAGGATCCTATATGGGCACCGGTTCTAATCCCAGTGGCCCCGCTTCCCATCCAGCTCCCTTTTTGTGGCCTGGGAAAGCAGTTGAGGACGACCCAAGGCTTTGGGATCCTGCACCCATGTGGGATACCCGGAAGAAGTTCCTGGATCCTGACTTCGGATCAGCATAGCATCAGCCGTTGCGCTCACTTGGGGAGTGAATCATCAGACAGAAGATCTTCCTCTCTGTCACTCTTTTTCTCTGTATTTCTGACTTTCCAATAAATAAATAAATCTTTAAAAAAAATACTTAAAAAAAAACCCCACACAATGTAAGCCATGGAGAGGGCAAATAGAAATTCAACCCTGTGATGTGTCTGCTAACCCACAAAGACAGCTTAGGAGGCATCCGTAGGACTCACTGTGACACACAATGGAAAAACGAAATGCTTCTCATTCAGATATTTAACATGTAATTTAACAGAAGTGTGAAATATATTTGGTAAATCTTAGAGATTTAAAGTGGCAGCAGAGTCTTACCATTCACTAGACTGTAGCGTTGGGGAGTCGTTCTGGGCGATGTGATATAAGGCACTCATTGCGTTCATGTTGAAAAGTGGGGGCTTCCGTTCAGCTAAAAGAAAGAAAAAAACATCATGATGTAGTTCTTAAGAGAAATCAGATATTGAAATGAAGAATTGTGAGCAAAGCTTTGCTGCTAAGTCAAAAGCTCGTTGACATTATCATGCCACTTAGCCCGTTTATTTTAGTTTCTAAGGTCAGTTCAGGATAGCTGTTCAGAAGAAACTGTTGGTCACTGAATGTACATGAGTAAAGCATCTAACAGAAGCCATTTTAACAGAGTGACATGCAGGGGCAGGTGTTTGGCACCACAGAGAAGGTGTCCCTCACAACACCTGCATCCTTTCTCTGAATGCCTAATTCAACACTGGCTTCCACCTTGGATTCCAGCCTCTCGCCAGTGGCCATCCTGGAGGGCAGCAAGTGATGGCGCAAGTACTTGGGTCACTGTCGCCCACATCAGAGACCAGGACTGAGTTCTTGGCTCAGCCCGGAAGTGAATCAGCAGGTGGCAGATCTCTCCTACTTTGTCTCTGTGCCTTACACATAAAATGAGAGAGAGAGATCACTCTATCCTCTGGCTTACTCCCCAGATGGCCACGACAGCCAGGACTGAGCCAAAGGCAGAAGTCAGAAGCTAGGAGTTTCTGCCAGCTCCCCCCTGAGTGTAGTAGGGGTCCAAACATTTGAGCCACGTTCCACTACTTTTCCCAGGAGATTAGCAGGGAGGTGGATCAGAAGTGGAGCACTCAGAATACATATTGGCACCCTGTTGGGATAGTGGGGTTGTGGGCAGCAGCTTTACCCACTACGTCATAATGCTGGCCCCAGATATTTATTACTAGAGGGTTTACTCCACACAGTGGAATAAATGACCATTCCATCGGAAGTCCTATAGTGCTCCCTTGGTTCATTTGACATATTGTACTTACATAAACATATGCTTTTCTTTTTGAGAAGAAATTACAAAGTGAAATGAAACAAACTCAAAAAGACAAATATCATATGTTCTTTATAAGGCAACAGTCATGCAAAATACAAAACAAACAGACACATAGGTAATCATGTACATACATATGTTCTCACAGATGAACCGCATAATATTGGGAGGTGAGGATACGCTGCAATATGCATCTACTCCTGAGTAGAAGGAGGACTCCCAATGAAACTGCTAAATGCACCATGACAATATAATACTAGATTTCCTACCACTGTCTATACCCACAGTGCTATGGTATACCTAGACAGAAGAACATCAGTCTTGTGGCTGCTGCTAAAGGACTACAGTAATAGTATGGGGGAAAATGGTGGAGGTGGGAGAACGGAGAAGGAGGATGGAGAATCACTATTCCAACACGTTCTATCATGGAAACAATAACAATAGAAAATTATTTAAAAAAAGAAACCAGGCCCGACATGGTAGCCTAGTGGCTAAAGTCCTTGCCTTAAACGTGCCGGGATCCCATATGGGCGCCAGTTCACATCTCCTGGCTGCCCCACTTACCATCCAGCTCCCTGCTTGTGGCCTGGGAAAGCAGTAGAGGATGGCCCAAAAGCCTTGGGATCTTGTACCAGCATGGGAGACCTGGAAGGGGCTCCAGGCCCTCGGCTTTGCGTTGGCTCAGCTCCAGCCTTGCGGCCACTTGAGCAGTGAACCAGTGTATGGCAGATCTTTCTCTGTAGCTCTGACTTGCCAATTAGAAATAAATAAAATATTTTAGAAATTTTATGCAGGCCCATAGTGGTAGGCTAACGGCTGAAGTCCTCCCCTTGCACGTGCTGGGATCCCATTTGGGTGCCAGTTTGTGTCCTGGTGGCCTCATGTCCTATCCAGCTCCCTGCTTGTGGCCTTGGAAAGTAGTCAAGGACGCCCCAAAGCCTTGGGACCCTGCACCTGCATAGGAGACCCAGAAGATGCTCATGGCTTCTGATTTCAGATAGGCACAGCTCTGGCTACTGCAGCCATTTGGGGAGTGAATCAGTGGACAGAAGATCTTCCTCTCTGTATATCTGACTTTCCAATAAAAACAAACCCTTAAAAAAATGTATGTTACTTATTAATTATCCTGGTGCCAAAGACAAATTATCATCTCATTCTACAGAATGATAATTATCTAATCACTCTAACAGAATTTTTAATGTAGTCTCACTTTCTACTTCATAATTTGATTTTCAGTTTATGACAACATCTTTATTTTTGAGTAAAAACTTACTAAAATTGCAACATGGGCTTACTCTTTGCAGCTGTAAGTGAGAGAACAAGAGCTAAGGATAGAATTATATGATAAACTTCTTCATTCATTGGAGTAAGAATTTGCGAAAAGCCAGAGTAGTTAAAAAAATTGAACTAAATCCACAACGGACAGTATTTAAGAGAACTTAGAGTCATGGGCAGCGTATAACCAAGACAACTGCACTTAGCTGCCACGAGGCTTCGGAGGAGGCTCTCACAGTTTCCCCTAAATGGTCAGTGCCCTGTCTGGAATGGGAAAGTCTGTAATTCTACTGCTGCTCTGTGCTGACCCTTCCATAGTATACTGTGCAGACACCAGGCAGAGACTAACATCACAGGATATCGACAAGCCTCATCCTCTAAACCCCTTGTTTTCTCGTCAGTCCTGGGACCACATGCTTCCTGCTCCTTCATCCACACGGCCCAGGCTGCTTTCCACAGCTTCATTCCCAGAAGCAACCGTGTTCCTCTCTTTCTCCGGCCATCTTTTACTTCACTGGAAGAAATCAGCTAAGAGTCCTCCACCCATACCGTGTTATGTCTGGACTTTAGTCTTTCTTTTTTCTTTTGTTTGCTATTATTATTATCGTTGTTGTTGTTAGAGAGAGGCAAGAAGAGACACAGAGAGCTTCCATTTGTTGGTTCACTTAAAAAATGTCTACAATGGTTGAGCTCAGGGAATGTGGGAATTCGATTCCACATGGGTAACAGGGACCAACTACTTGAGCCATTAACTCCTGCCCCTCAGGAAGCTAGGATTGGGAGTTGGAGCTGGGACTCAAATTCGGACATCCCAATATGGAATATGACATCTTTTTTTTTTAATTGCAAAGGTGGATATATAGAGAGACGCAGCAATAGGGAGAAAGATCTCCCATCAGCTGGTTTACTCCTCAAGTGGTCACAATGGCCAGAGCTGAGCTGATCTGAAGCCAGAAGCCAGGCGCCTCTTCCAGGTCTCCCACACAGCTTTGGGCCATGCCTCAACTGCTTTCCCAGGCCACAGGCAGGCAGCTGAATGTGAAGTGGATCAGCTGAGACATGAACTGGTGCCCACATGGGATCCTGAGTGATGTAAGGCAAGAACTTAAGTCACTAAGCTATCATGCTGGGCCCCCTAAATGGCAGCTTAACTGCTAGGTCAAATTCCTATGTCCCCTCTCTCATTCCCCAAATTTTAACTGGTTAAATCTTGGCAACCAATCAGATTTAATTTTAAATAAAATTTTCATTTTAGCATTAATTTTATAAATATCTTATCTTTAGATAAATACCTCCTGGAAAGTCAAAAGTTTCTTAAGAACAAATATGGTTGATAATAATAATCATGATAATAATAACTGCCAGCATTTATCGAGTTTCTACTGTATGTCAGGTACTAATAGGCATACTACCCCATTATTCATAATTCCTACAAGAATGGGCAAAAAAGCTTTTATTCCTCCAATTTTGAAAAAAAAGATTTATTTTTACTGGAAAGACAGATACACAGAGAGAAGGAGAGACAGAAAGGAAGATCTTCCATCCACTGATTTCACTCCCCAAGTTGCCGTGCAGTGGGAGCTGGTATTCCTCCAATTTTACAACTGAGAAACCAAGGCTGAGCTAGGCTAAATACTGACACTGAGTCACACAGTGAGATATTAATGTAGGATTTCACCCCAATTCTATGACCCCTAGACCTATGATCTTTTTATAGACCCACAGTGCCTCTTGAATAACTGTATGCATCTAACAATAGAGTTTTCTAGTATTTCAAAATGAATAAAGAATAAAGAAAAAAAAAAGCTTTTGAAAACTAAATATAACCCCATCTTTGCAACAGCTAGCCCAGGATCATTTATTAAACAAGGAGTGGCTAATGTAAAAGGCAGAAACTCTAGGCAGATAAAATACATAACACCACTTAGTTTTGATTTTTCCCTGGAGACTTTGCTCCAAACACACTCAATCCCCCTGTAATATTAAGGGATGATTTGCGGGATCTAACAAAATGTCCTGGTTTAAATATAAGAATGTAAACGTTAACTTCTCTTGAAGTAACCTTTAAAAATGTTTATCCGATCACTAGTCAGTTTAAATATCCAGGAGGTTTCACAACATTCATGTATTCAACTAGTTCTTTCAATGAAGATCAATTCAGCAAAACATAATTTCTTTTTAAAAAAGATTTATTTATTTTTACTGGAAAGTCAGATATACAGAGGAGGAGAGAGAGAGAGAGAGAGACATCTTTCATCTGCTGATTCACTACCCAAGTGGCTGCAATGGCCAGAGCTGAGGCAAACTGAAGCCAGGAGCCTGGAGCTTCTTCTGGGTCTCTGATGTGGGTGTAGGGTCCCAAGGCCCTGCGCCATCCTTTACTGCTCTCCCAAGTCACAGGCAGGGAGCTGGATGTGAAGTGGGACCACTAGGTCACGAACCAGCGCCAATTTGAGATCCCAGCATGTACAAGATGAGGGCTTTAGCATCTAGGCTACCACACCAGGCGTGCAAAACATAATTTCTACTAAAATTCTTCATCACGTAGGAGCTCTAGAGTGTGATCTTCAGGAATGAGAGACAAGTGTCAGGAAGATCATCCTATTATGTGACGTAACCTCAGCAATTCAATTTATAAAATGTTCAAAATATATTTCCTCTGCTACAGGTTGAATTCATGAAGTTATCCCAAAGCAGTAAGTTGATAAAACAAAGGGGTGGGAACTGAACCCAATGTGGTGGTTTGGAGACATGGTCTTTGGGACCTGCCTTTATTCCACTGGATCATAGAGTGGAACCCTTGTGAGTGAATGCTGGGGCTTCGTGAGAAAATACACTGGTGCATGTACAATACATGGCTTACCATGTGATGCTCTGCACTAGCTCAGACTTCTGCCACCAAGAATGCCATCACTAAAGCGCCAACCAACAGGCCTCTCGTGACCTTTAACTGTGGTCTTCCAAAACTGTGAGCCAACTAAAAATTGCTTTCTTACTTAAGTAGCTATTTCAAGCACTGCAGCAGAGTATTAAAAAAAAAAAAAAACCTGCCCAATACAATTCTACCATACGAGAGAGATGCCAATAGGAGCAGGACAATATGAGGACAATATGTTATTCAGGTACTATCCACAATATACCACTATCACTATCAGATACACCACTATAAGGTGTATATGAACAGTTTAATCTTCTTTCATATAAAAATGCTTTTTTAAAACAGGTCCGTTAACAAAATTAATTCAAGATAGATGGAGTTGTATGGTAAAGCTGTCAATGAGGTGTATATATGATTTATTACATTACTGATAGAATAATTTTTAAACAATTGCTGAAGAGTTAAGTGTCCCAAGCAGCAATTTTATTTTGCGAATACTGAGTATCTACTCCTATAGTTCTTTGCCTCTAAAACACAGCACCATTGTATGCTGTCAGTAACAAGATGCTGCTACCTATAAGATACTTATTTTTAAAAATATTTACTCTTCATTTGGTTGGCTGGCTTTTGAGAAATAAAACTTGTATATGTTTAAGACGCACAATGTGATGTTTTCCTATTCGAATACATTGTGAAGTAATTATCACAATTAATACACCCACTATTCACTGTTTTTGTTTGTTCGTTTTGTGTATAAGAAAAATTAGGGTTGGGCGTGGCACAGTAGCTTAGTGGTTAAAGTTCTCTTCTTGAACGCACTGGGATCCCATATGGACGCAGGTTCTAATCCCAGCAGTTCTGCTTCCCATCCAGCTCCCTGCTTGTGGCCTGGGAAAGCAGCTGAGGATGGCTCAAAGTCTTGGAACTGCACTCACGATCCTTGCTTCAGCTCAGCTCAGCTCTGACCATTATAGCCACTTTGGGAGTGCATCAATGGATGGAAGATCTTCCTCTGTCTCTCCTTCTCTATATATCTGACTTTCCAATAAAAATAAAATAAAATAAATCTTTACAAAAAGGGGAACACTTAGGGCCTATTAACAATTTCAAGTATGTAATACATCCTTATTCACCACAGTTATCAAGTTGCTTCCTTGTTGTGTTTTTTATTTACTTGTTTAATTTAAAGGGCAGAGAGAGAGAGAGAGAGAGAGAGAGAGCAAGCAGTCACGTTTAGTAATTCAGCCCCAAAATGCAAAATGTTCCAAACAGTTGAGGCTGTACCGGCCCAATGCCAGGAGCCCAAAGCTCCATCTGGGTCCCCTACATGAGTGGCAAGGACTCAATCATTGAGCCATCAACCTGCTACCTCTCAGGGTGTGCATTAGCAGGAAACCAGAATTAGGAGTGAAGCTGGGATTCAATCCCAGGCACTCTAATATGGGATGCAGATATCCTAAGCAGTCTTTACTATTATCATTATCATTATTTAAGATGATGTTTACATAGTTGATCAGAGTAGGAAGGATCAAGGGTTAAGGAAAAGTGGGTGTGATGATCGTTTCCAAATTTTCCTCAGCAGTCTTAGCCACCACACCAAACACCCAGTCCAGCTCCTAATTTTAAAGAGATGTTAAAACATAGATTAAAAATTTTAATGAAATATCATACTTCCCGAGACTGTTCTGTTAATGACTAACATTTGTGGAACATATACCATGTGTAAGATATAATAAGCACATTAAAACCACATTTTCATTGAATTCAGTCAATCCCCTCAACACAGAGAATTTCATTAGGCAAGTTTCACAGGCAGTTCAACTAATATGACCCAAGTCACGCAACTAAGAAATGGCAGAATTGGAAAATTAGAACTTAGCGTTAGCTGACTGCAGAGTCTATCCTCTCTAGCATAACTTGATGCTATGACCTACTTACCCAATTCAATACAGGTGATCCCAAGTGACCAAATATCAACTTTTCCATCATACTGTCCTTCATCCATAGCCAAGATCACCTCTGGAGCCATCCTACCAAACATATTACACCAAACTCAAGTTGCAACTTCAAAACCAAGTCCCCCTAAAAACATGACTCAAGGAAACAGCTGCTGTTACAAGTATTCTAGGTTTTTATACAAATAATGGAGAAACATAATATCCAGAATATAAGTATATTCCATGAATAAGAAGGAACAGCAAGTTCTTTATTTCTTACTACAAATCTTGGTTTTGTCTTTTACTAACAGCTTGATCGGCTTAATCTGTCTAAGTTTCTTCAATTATATAATGCAGTACATTCTAGAAGCTCTAAAAGATACATATGAAAGATGAATATGTGTGACACACAAATTAGTAAGCTACCTTAAACAACATGGGAAATACTTCACACTGCAAAAACATAAAGCAATCTAATCAGCTATTCCAATGATTCTTTAACTTACAAAAGCATATAAACAACCTGGGCTATGGTTAACAGGTATTCCTTTGTACATAGGCATTTTTCTTAGGAAAGCAGGGACCCAGTGAGTTTTAAATGTTTTGAATAGAAATGTGCTCTATGTGGAGCCTATGTAGTTGTTCAGCAAATGGTATTTCATGATGATGGAAAAAAAATTCCAGTAGGAGCTGATTTTTTTTTTTTAAGTAGGTAAGTCATTCTCCAGGGATATAAACCATTCTCTAAGGTTTAGTGAAATTCTAACTTATCTACAAAAGAAAGAAAAGAATCTGGAATAAAGCAGGGCAGAAAAAAAAAAAAGAAAAAAACACACTTGGTCAGAATGACAAGCCAGGTGAAGTATCAGAGAACGCAGCGAACACAGGAACCCTGATTCCTCTCACTGAAAGGGAATGTTTGTGCTTGCTGGCAGGGCAGGGAGAGCTGAAGCAGCTGCTGTGTCCTTCCTGGGCACTGCCTCCAGAGAGAAGTTCAAAGGAAACCTCAGACCTGAGCTTGGCTAGGGAGTTGATAATCCTGCTCAGTTTTCGCCCAGTGACATCAATGCTATCAGAACAACCTGAAGTCACCGAAGGTTTAGACCAAGTTGCCGTGTTTCTCTGTTTGCTATTGAGTTTCTATTTTCTCAAATGAAATCTCAGTGGGTGAGATACTGAAAAAAAAAAAAAAAGAAAGAACACATAAAAGTGGTGGGTGTTTGGGACAGAGGTTAAGATGTTATTTGAGAGGTCGGCACCAAGTCTCAGAGTGCCTGGGTTCCGGTCCCACCTCTGCGTCAGAGCCCAGCTTCCTTTGCTAATGTGTACCCTGCAAGACAGCAGGTGATGGCTCAAGTATTTGGTTCCTTGCTACCCATGTGAGCGACCTGGACTGAGTTCTAGGCGCCTGGTTTCAGCCTAGCCCAACCTTTATTGTTGCAGGCATGTGGAGGGTGATCCTGTATATAGGGGCTAGCTCTCTTTCCCTCTGTCTTCCAAACAAATTAAAGCAGTTAATTCTAAAATCTGGGGAAAAAAAAAAAAAGGCCTGAAAAAGGGATGAATAACTCTCAATAACAACCAAAAAAAAAAAAAAAAAAAAACCAGAACCAATGCCATGAGTTCATCTTGCTTATGCATGAACATTTAAAAATTCTGTACAACTTACTAATCCTACGTACCAGTAAGGGGTGCCCACGAAGGAATTGGCAGGAGAAGCCATTGAGGCAGATCCAAAATCAGCTAGTTTCACCTGACCTGGCTCTGTCAGGAGAATATTTCCTGCTTTAATATCCCTGTTCAAAAAAAAAAGAGGTTTAGAAAATTAATTTAAAATTTTGATTATGGAATAGGTCAGAGCATGCAATTAATAACACACAGTTATTTTTAAAACAATAATAACAATGTATTTTTAGCCAGAAGGAGATTTAGTAATTACTACATGTTGTAAGGGAGCCCTGATTCCTCAGTGTGCTTACATGGAAGTTAGGGTAATTACTTAAAAGTAGAACTTGCTCTGGAAGGGAGGGAATAGAATGAGAAAAAAAGGCAGACATGGCAGACAGGGAAACATACAGCTGCTGTATTTACAAAATGATATTCTTAAATATGCTGAATCTAGTCACTGACAGCTTTTCACATCCTAGGAAAACTGGTACCATTTGGTAACTGCCTTTTTGTTTGTTGGTTTCCAAACTCTGTGACATTTTTATAGACTAAACAAACCTGCAATGGCTCTAGGGTCTACCTCTGAAAACACCTCAGCTACACACATACCTTTTATTTCTTGCCTGGGACCCTTTCTCTCTGCCTTTAATTGTAACTGCAATTCTAAGGCATGGGAGGGTACATATTACATAGAAGGTGTTATTTTTATAATAACACTGTACGGTAAAAAGAAGACCCTGAAAGATCAAAACAAACAAGGATTAGGGGTTAGGAAATTGCATTCGTACTGTATTTCCACAAAGAATCACAAGTGGTTACTACTTAAGCTATTAGATGTTTGATGCAGCAGAAGTTTATAAAGATGATTTTTAAAAATTAATTATTCAGCATGAAAATTTAGAATGACAAGAAGTGGATGTACTCTAGTTTTTTTTAAAAAAAATAGGCATGAGGTAAAATGAGTACTAGGAATTAAGAAGTATAAATCGATGGGCCATGGAAAGATAAGAGACAATGAAGAAAATCAGTGTCAAGTTAAAAATGACAAGCTTCAAATGTTTTCAAAGTAACTTTTATAAAGACTTCCCTTGAAAATTCTGTTTCCTTCCTCATGATGACATTGGGCATTGGCACAGAGAACTAAAAAAAAAGGATTGTTTATTGTCTTTGCAACAGAAAAACGTTTTCTCTATTTCATTAAAAGATTGAATTGTCTTTTAGATCAAAATAATAAGAGTCTAAGACACGGTAAATATTTTTAAATTTAAAAATACACTCTTTAAAGTTTTGTCTTTCTAGCTACTGTGTACTAAAAAAAAATCGTAATTTAAAACAGCAAGTTCAAGTGCAGGTGGAGGTAACAGAGACACCAGAAAAGCAAAACCAAGACTTTTCAAAAGAAACAGGCAAAGGCATCGTAAGGTATTCAAGTAATAACATGTTGGCACCAAAGAGATTCATTTTTCAAAAAGTTGTCAAATCCACAGACATGGTGAACGGATTTAATCAGTATTTATCAGACATGCTTAGGTCCCTTCTCTACCCTTCCAAACAGGTTGAGTCCCTGGCAGGACTGCCGCCTGCCCGTGTCGGGGAAGTTCTGCTTTTTGCAGAACTGCTGATGGCGACTTGGCGATGACTAACACAGAAGCAAAAGGGGAACCTGTGATCTAATGGTTTCACTTCTTCCTGATAAATGCTAAGTGTTTTTTTTTTGTTGTTGTTTGAGAGTCATCATGGACCCTGTGTATCTACTGAATTTTCCACTATTTCTCCCACCATTCCTTCAAGGAACTGCTCAAAACCCTTTCTGGAAAGAAGGAAAGATTGGAAACAACGCCTTTCTTTAGAAGATATCAGTGGAAGGAAGGTGGTTATAGGAGGACATTGGGATTATGGCTGAAAAAAAAAAAAAAAAAAAACCAGGTAGAGAAAAACCTGGGTTGAAAATCAGGAAATCTGAGTTTCAATCCTTACTTTTTTACTTAAGTGCTATGAGACTTCAGGCAACAAATTATTTAAAACTTTCTGAGCCCCTGCCTCTTCATCTCCCAAAATAAAAATAATACCTTCCTGAGTATCTGTATGGATTATAAAAATGCAAAAATCGGAAATGGTGAGATAACATATATTCATATAGGATTAACTCGCTATTTGCAATTAAAAATAAAGAAACTCAACTAAAAAATAAAATACAAGGAAGATGATTTCTTTTTTTTTTCCTTTTTGTCATGGTATCAAATAATTTCTTGGCCTTTCTTCAAATGTTCTGGTTACACCCAGTTTGGACAATAGATCAGAGATGTTGGAGGTCTGTGGATACATGGCAGACCAAGAGACAAAGTCCCTGCAACTTTGCACCTTACAGGCACCAGCATCCCATCTACTTCCCGGACGTGCTGAAGCATCCTAACAATCGGAGCATGCACTAGTTCTCAGGATTCCTGGGACAGCTTGTGACTGAAAAGAAAACCCGGCTAATCTGCTCGTACCTGTGAATCAGCGCGTGAGAATGCAGGTAGGCCAGCCCCTGCAAGGCCCCGTGGGTGATGGCAGCAATCTCCACTTCCTGGAGTGGTTTCTTATGAACTGGGACAGGATGGGGAAAAAGTCCAGAGTAAATCATGAGCATCATTCCTTTTTCTTTTAAAATTTATCTTGTGCAGTCATACCAGACTGAGTGATATACTTTCTTATATGTCAATGTGGGAACACATTTATTGTACACATTAAGATTCTATATTTTTTCATTAAGCAGCAGTAAATAATCAGGTAACAGGGAACTCCACTGAATGAACACTTCCATGCAAAACAAGGAAAGCTTCAGTATTAATTATTAATTTGTTTGTAATTTCTGAATTAGAGCCCCCTCCCACCACCAAGTCCCACTTGCCAGGCCCAGGTTCGTTGGTTTCTTCTATTGTTTTAAATGCCTGGAGCGACCTAGGACACAGGACCCTCTGCCACAAAGCCATCTCTTATTTCTTGTAACTAACAGTTTTCATTATTGGTGAAAGCAGCTAGTAAGCAATTTCTATTCAGAGAGCAAGGAGACATTGAAACATGAAATCTCTAAGAGAGCTTTGGGTTATAAGTGCACTGGCAGCAGAGGGTTAAACATCCATATAATGTGCTGACCTTTCCCTGTCTTTCACGCGTCTACATAGACACGACCCTTTCTGTCACTGAGGTTGTGTCCTACCAGCCCAACACCGTAGCTGCACCTGCTGTGGATGGCCATGAACTACACAACAGGAGCCAGACGCCCTCAGGGACAGAACAGAGACCCAGTGAGCCCAGCTTGACCTGCACCACTCTGACGGCCAGGTCACCAGCTCTGCCCTTTGACACTGGAGCACAGAACACACAGATGAGGGCAAAACAGAGAGGAAGGTGGAGTGCTTTTGTTCTTACCTTCTAGCAAATCAGAGGCTGAGCCTAAGCAGTACTCCATCACCAACTGTAACAGATTAAAATGATAATAGGAATAATGAGGGGGAACCAGAAATTGAGGCAACACACCAGCATACATACCAAAAACCAAGAATGCCAGGAAAATCGGTATTCTGACACACCTAAATCTATCCCATTTTGGTCTGGCGGCACTAATTGATCTTTGTACTTTTAAAGATTTATTTTTATTATTTTGTTTATTGGAAAGGCGGATATACAGAGAAGAGAGACAGAGAGGAAGATCCTCGGTCCGACGATTCACTCCCCAAGTGAGCACAACGGGCCGATGCTATGCCGATCCGAAGCCAGGAGCCTCTTCCGGGTCTCCCACGCAGGTACAGGGTCCCAAAGCTTTGGGCCGTCCTCGACTGCTTTCCCAGGCCACAGGCAGGGAGCTGGAAGGGAAGTGGGGCTGCTGGGATAGAACCGGTGCCCACATGGGATCCCGGGCGTGCAAGGCGAGGACCTTAACCACTTGCGCCACCTTGCCGGGCCTGATCTTTGTACTTTTAATCTTTTCAGCTTTTGTTATCTGAGACTACAAGGTGATGGATTAAGGAAAAACTCATTGAAAATGCTCAAGCTGAGATTGATAATTTATTCAATTACCAATATCCATGATATATTTTTTAAAAAGATTTAAGGTGGCTAGGTTGCACTTAAGGTACATCTTTTTAGCTTAGAGTCAAATGTATAAGCTAATAAAAGCTATAGTGAGAAATACTAGTAAAATAAAACCAGTTGTGAATTCCTTATTTGACAAATTTAAAAAGTTCTAAGGAAAAAACGCATATTAGGTTTCTGGCTGTCCCGGACTGCTTTCCCAGGCCACAGCCAGGGAGCTGGAAGCGAAGAGGAGCAGCCAGGATACGAACACTGGCGCATATTTGGGATCTCAGTGCACCCAAGGCGAGGATTTAGCCACTAGGCTACTACAATGGGCCGGGCCCTGTTCAATCAATTTTGATGGAGACATTACTAAATTATGTCGCATGGTTTTCTGATTTAAGAAGGTGTTACTGAACATATGTAAATGTATTGTTTTTTTAAAAAGATGTATTTATTCTTATTGCAAAGCCAGATGTACAGAGAAAAGGAGAGAAAGACAGAAAGATTTTCTGTCTGATGATTCACTCCCCAAGTGACAGCAACGGCCGGTGCTGAACTGATCTGAAGCCAGGAACCAGGAACCTCCTCCAGGTCTCCCATGCACGGGTACAGGGTCCCAAGGCTTTGAGCCATCCTCGACTGCTTTCCCAGGCCACAAGCAAGGAGCTGGATGGGAAGTGGGGCTGCCAGGATTAGAATTGGCGCTCATATGGGATCTTGGCATGTTCAAGGTAAGAAGTTGTTGCCAGGCTAACGCACTGGGCTAAACCATATGTAAATTTCTTAAACAACATATGAATATTCAACTTTATAACTGAATGGAATGGATACGTTTATAGTTGTATTTTTTTAAGATTATATGTTAGGGAATAGCATCGTGGTGTACTTAGGTAAATATCCCAGCTACTTCACTTCTTACCCAAATCCCTGCTTACGACCTAGAAAAGCAGCAGAGAATGGCATAAGTCCTTTGGACCCTGCACTCATGTGGGAGACCCACAAGAAACTTGTGGCTATGCGTCAGCCCCACTCCAGCCATTATGATCATTTGTGAAGTGAACCAGAAGATGGAGGACCTCTCTTTCTGTGTCTCCGCTCTCTGTAAAATCTCTTGCAAATAAAAATGAAAATAATAAAATAATAAAAAGGATTTTTAAAAAAAGATTACATGTTAAAAAATTCAGGGTACCTGAACTGGTGGCTTGCTCCTGGCAATAAGCAGTGCCAGCGACCTTGACTTCAACTTACTGATCCACGTTTTAGCTTTCTCCTAGGGTTGTCATGAGTCAGACTGGCCTCGTGCCAGTGTGTGTACCTGTCTCCAACAGCTGAGCTCTTAAAGGCGCCTTCTAATTAGTCTGTCGACAAAAACCAGGCAACCGTGCTTACCAGCACTACACGGAATCTGAGTCAACTGGCTTCAGTAACAATCCTAGGATTGTCTGAGGACTCCAACACATGAGATGTAGTGCTTGGATTTTGTAACATTTATTTTGCCTGCTTGAAAACACTTTCTTGACTCTTTCAAGTCAGCTTAGATGGCCAGAGAAAAAATGATTTCCACATACGATGCTCTCTGATTAATTTTCTTTATTCAAAATCAAAGCAGGAAGCGTAGATATCTTTAAAAAGTTGTCTAGGGCACTGGCACAATGGCTCAACTGGCTAATCCTCATCTACAAGTGCTGGCATCCAGTAACAATGCTGGTTCTCACTCTGGCTCCTCCCCTTCTGATCCAGTCCCTTCTTAAGGCTGGGGAAAGCAGTGGAGGATGACCCAAAGCCTGTGACCTTCGGTCATGTGGGAAACCAGAAGAAGGTATTGGCTCCTAGCTCCAGGTTCCTGGCTTTGTGTGTGTTTTTAAAAGTTTATTTATTTATTTATTTATTTTTTGAAAGGCTGATTTACAATAAGGAGAGAGAGAGAGAGAGAGAGAGAGATCTTCCATTTGCTGGTTTACTCCTCCAATGGCCACACTTGCTGGAGCTCAGCTGATCTAAAGCCAGGAGCCAGGGACTTCTGCAGGATCTCCACATGGGTGCAGGGTCCCAGCACTTGGGCCATTCTTCACTGCCCTTCCAGGCCATAAGGAAGGAGCTGGATCAGAAACAGTCCTGGCTCCTGGTTTTGGATCAGCTGAACTGCAGCTTTTGTGACCCTTTGAGGAGTGAACCAGTGGATAGAAGATCTTTCTGTCTATCCTTTTCTCTGTAAATCTACATTTCCAATAAAAATAAATCTTAAAAAAAATTTCCTGAACAGAAATATCTAAGTACACTGTCCAATAATCAGGGAACAGATTTTCTAATTCCTAACTAAAGATCACATACACAAATGGACTTGGTACATGGTACGTGCCCAATAAATGACAATTAAATTGAACACTAGATTGGAATGTATAATCTGTTAAAACATAACTGTAAATTATAAGTTTTCTGCTCTGAATTGTGCCTAATATGCCAACCCCAAAACAGAAACACAATCATGTAAAAATACACCAAGAAGAGAAAGTTGAACAAAAGACTGTTTCATTTTAATCATATGATAGGTCCTGTTTTATAAAAATTACATGGTGATGATAATACCAAGCATAGTTTCAAGTTTTGGATAAAATGGATTAGGAGATAATGGAATTTCTAGTCGCTGAATGTCACAACCCATCTCAAATACCACGTGAGAACACGTATCATACTTGTAGACATACCATATAACACTGAGGGTTAACAAACGTTAACTACTAAAAACAATAGTCAAATGGGACTGAAACTAGACCTGTAATTACACAGATCAAACAGATCATTTTTAAAAGATAAAACAGATAGGCCTGGCATGGTAGCCTAGCGCCTAAAGTCCTTGTCTTGCATGTGCCAGGATCCCATATGGGCACTGGTTCTAATTCCAGAGGCCCCACTGCCCATCCAGCTCCTTGCCTGTGGCGTGGGAAAGCAGTCAAGGATGGCCCAAGGCCTCGGGACCCTGCACCAACATGGGAGACCTGGAAGAAGCTCTGGGCTCCTGGCTTTGGATTGGCCCAGCTCCGGCTGTGGCGGTCACTTGGACAAAAGATCTTCCTCTCTATCTCTCCTCCTCTCTGTATATCTGACTTTCCAATAATAAATAAATAAATATTTTTAAAAAGATAAAATAGAAAAAAAATTAATATAAAATATCCTGCCTAGTTCTAGGTTCTTTGCCTTGCATGTACTGGGTCCTCATGTGGATGCTGGTTCATGTCCCGGCTGCTCTACTTCCCATCCAGCTCCCTGCTTGTGACCTGGGAAGGTAGTGTCAGGTGGCCCAAAGCCTTGGAACCTTACACCTGCAAGGGAGACCTGGAGCAGGTTCCTGGCTTCAAATCAGCCAGCTATGGCCATTGGGGGCACTTGGGGAATGGACCAGGGGATGGAGGATATTTCTGTGTTTCTCCTTGTCTCTGTAAATCTGCCTTTTCAATAAAAATAAATAAATATTTTTTAAAAATTAACAGAAAAGACAAAAGAATTACAACATGTCCTTTGACTTACCCAGGCAGTATGTTCTTTCAAGTAACAACCTTTGTACTCAATGGTGTTAGGATGCTTCAGCTGTCGTAAAAACTTAACCTCCTTAAGAATGTCTTGCCATTTCTATGGAAATCAGAAGAGAAAGATTTTAATTTTGAATGGAAAATAGTGTTTTATTGTTAAAGTAAACCTACGTATGATTCTATTATTTCAATGGAAAAAATAGACATTTCGTCAATCAAAAAGCTATTTCAACTTGTTTTATATCTTTAGTCTGGGTACACATAAACACTGTTGCCAATTAGAACTATTACACATACACATGGACAAGTCTGTCAAAAAGGTGAGGAAAAGATCATGAAGCAGCATTCACAGGCTGCGTGTTAGTTTCCTATTCACGTGCGTGGATCAGTCTTTTTCACTCACCTCATGTGTCTGCTTCCCGCTGTAGGACATTTTCTTGACTGCCACCACCTCATTAGTGTGAGCATTTGTGGCCTGTGTCAAAGGGTAGAGGAAAAATAAGAACAATCACTACTACTTCAGCCTGTTTGTCTTTAATATTTAATCAGGCTTTGAAAGTAACAAACTCATGTTTCAGCATCATAGTTAGAGCATACTGACTTTGATAGCCCAACTACACATTTCCACGGCCGCGTTGCTCTATCCCTCTCTGTATACATGCAAAGATCATAATATAGAAATGATTGGGATTGAATAATCAAACATAAAAAAAGATAGTCTTACTGGCATCACCATGTAGAGTGTTCATTAATGGAATGAAGGATTAGTTAATTATCTCTGATAAGTCAAAATTATCATTTACAAATAAAAGTTGTATGCGAAGAAATAAAATAATGACCAAAACTAAGTCATATAGAATGATTTTAGTTTTGCACATGGCAATAATGTGGATAGTATATATATTTACAAAAACTACAAAAGAATGAAGACCAAAACACAGATCAGTGAAAACCCTTGGACACTGCTAGCTGCTGGTACACTACAACATCATTGCACAGGGCAGCAAGTGCAATGTGACTAGTACGCCGGAGAAAGTGAAATGGAAAATTGATTCTAATTTGACTTAACTGAAATTGAAATAGTTACCTGTGCCTAGTAGATGCTGAATTTAATAGCACAGCAGAAGGGAAGAGTAGGCCTGAGAAGGGCTTTGAGGCTCAGGGTTACATGGATACCGTCTATGGCTGATGCATGCACTCACTCAGTCTATGTGTATGTGTCTGTATGTGTGTGTATTTTTTAATCTGTAAGGGGTAGCCTGTCTCATAATTATCTCTATTTGTCTTCTTCCTACTCTAAAATATAATAATTCATTGAAAGTATATGTGAAAATACTGTTTTTTTCTTTTCAATTTATTTTGTGATTTAATATTAATTTCCAAAACTTTCAGAAAACTCTAAGCCAATAAAAGTTACTAAGACAGAAAAGGTGCAGGGGAGAGAAGGAGGGAAATCTATGCACCATCCACTGGCTCACTGCGCAAATGGCTGTATCTGGACAAGCTGGCAGCTAGGAACAAAGAGCTTCTTCAGCCAGGCCCACCACATTGGAGCACGGGCCCAGGCAGATTAACAGAGAGCAGACCAGAAGTAGAACAGCTAGGACTTGAACCAATAGCTACATGGGATGCCAGCGTCTTAGTCAGTGCCCTAATCCACTACACTACAATAAAGGCTCCTGGTTTTCTTTCTCTCTCTATTTGTTTTATTATTTTTTAAAAATCTATTTTTATTGGAAAATCACTTATACAGAGAGGAGGAGAGACAGAGAAGGAAAATCTTCTGTTCGATGATTCATTCCCCAAGTAGCTGCAACAGCCAGAACTGAGCTGAGCTGTGCTTAAGCCAGGAGCTAGGAGCTTCCTCCAGGTCTCCCACACGGATGCAGGGTCCCAAGGCTTTGGGCCGTCCTTGACTGCTTTCACAGGCCACAAGCAGGAAGCTGGATTGGAAGTGAGGCAGTCTAGATTAGAACTAGTACCCATATGGGATCCAGGGGCGTACAAGGCAAGGACTTTAGCCACTGGGCTAACGCGCCAGGCCCCTGATTTTCTTTTAAAAACAAAGTTCTGTATCAGTGTCACACTCCTAATGAAAGTAAACTATTCTGGGCTCCAGTGAGGTGGCACAGAAAGCTAAGCCTATTCCTGTAGCACCCACTTCTCCTATGGGTGCCCATTTGTGTCTCAGCCGCTCTGCTTCCCACTCAGCTCCCTGCTTATGACCTGGGAAAGCAATGAAGGATGACCCAAGTCCTTGGGATCTTGCTTCAACATGGGATACCCAGAAGAAGCTCCTGGCTTCTGGCTTTGGATCAGCCCAGCTTTGACCATCATGGCCATTCAACAATGAATAAGTGGATGGAAGACCCCTTTTCCTGTCTCTTCTCTCTGACTTTGTGTTTCAAATAAAGACAAATCTTTCAAAACAAAAGTAAACCATTCTAGTTATATGATGTTATTATTACCATGAACCAATAATACTATGGCAATTTAAAAATTCATAATAAATTTCTTAAATGTAACTAAAGAAAGTGTTCAAGTATGTAATAATGGCTTATGATATTTAAAAAAACAGCTGAATTCAAACAATAAATGATGATTTACTGACATGGAAAGAATTCAGCCCTAGATTTTTTAAAAAGATTTATTTATTTTTTATTACAAAGTCAGATATATAGAGAGAGGAAAAGAGAGAGAGAAAAAAAATCTTCCATTGATTGATTCACTCCCCAAGTGACCGCAACAGCCAGTGCTGTACTGATCCGGAGCCAGGAGCCAGGAACTTCCTCCGGGTCTCCCCCATGCGGAAACAGGGTCCCAAGGCCTTGGGCCATCCTCAACTGCTTTCCCAGGCCACAAGCAGGGAGCTGGATGGGAATTGGAGCAGCCGGGATTAGAACTGATGTTCATATGGGATCCTGGCGCGTTCAAGGTGAGGACTTCTAGCTGCTAGGCCACGCCGCTGGGCCCCAGCCCTAGATTCTTAAAGAATATTAGAATGCAGAGAAAATGGACACACACTAAAAAAATATTTTAATGTATCAGATAATATAATCTATTATAGAAACAAAGTACCTACTAACTATAATTTTCAAAGGACTCTTCAAAGAAAATTTAAGACAAAATTTCATTTATTTAGAAGGAATGACTGACATTTATCAAAAAGAAAATATCTCATGTGCTTCTGGCTTTTAACCTTTAATATTAAGATTGTAGCTAGGACCCAGCACCGTGTCATAGCGGCTAAAGTCCTCGCCTTGAACACACCAGAATCCCATGTGGGCGCCGGTTCTGGTCCTGGCGACTCCACTTCCCGTCTAGCTCCCTGCCTGTGGCCTGGGAAGGCAGTCGAGGATGGGCCAAAGCCTTGGGATCCTGCACCCGTGTGGGAGACCTAGAGGAAGTTCCTGGCTTCTGGCTCCAGATCGGCACAGCACCGGCTATTGCGCTCACTTGAGGAATGAATCATCAAATGGAAGATCTTCCTCTCCGTCTCTCCTTCTATCTGTATATCTGACTTAGTAATGAAAATAAAATAAATCTTAAAAAAAAACCCACTGTGCCTAGATGATAACAAGAAAGAAAAATTAATATTAATTCAGTATTACAGTAAAGGATAAAAGGCCGAGAACAAAAATAGTTATTTGGGACATAAGTCTTTAGTCAACTGGGAAGTGTAAGGAGTCTAGAAAAGATTTAGAAAATAAACAATTAAAAAAAACAAGTTTTTTTTTAAAAGATGAATACAAACCCAATTCTTAACCATTATAAAAAGCAAAGAGAAAGCCTGTCCCAGTGGAATCATGCAGTATTATGATCTAATTGCTTATGAAACTTATTTAGAATCAGAACCACCCTGAAACAAAAACTATATTTCCAGTTGGTCCTTGGTGCAGTGATTCAGCTGTCACTCGGAATGCCTGTGTCCCGTGGCAGGTGTCTGGGTTCATGTCATCAGTGTACCCGTTACCAGCTTCCTGCTGATGTTTATCTTGTGTGCTACTTGTGGAAAAGATGTGGGGTTCAGCTCGAACGACTTTCTAGTAGCAAGCGGATGTGATCAGCTCACACTTATTTCATGGTCATTGAGGTGAGACTAAAGTGGGTTAGTGTAGTCAGTCAGATAAAAGATGACTTAATCTTTTTTGGTTCTAATGGCACCAGTAACACTGGGAAGAGTATATTAAGAGTGGTAGAGGTTCAAAACATAAAGAACAACAGTGAAGCCTTGGTACCCTGCACCTGCATGGGAGACTCAGAAGAAGCTCCTGGCTCCTGGCTTTGGATTGGCTCAGCTCCAGCTGTGAGGCTACCTGGGGAGTGAACCAGCAGAGGGAAGATCTTTCTCTCTGTAGATCTGCCTTTCCAATAAACATACATAAAATTAAATAAATAAATAAAAACATTACTGGGATTTGTGGGGAAACTCATTTTTAAGGTGCTACCCATGGTACCAGTGTAGATAAACGATTAAACATTTTTGTGAATTTTACATTAAAGTGTCAGTTGACTCTGTTTTTAAATGTCTTCTGGACAAAACAGAGGCTTGTACTATTCACTTTCGCCTACAGGCAAGGAAGAGTTAAGGAGTATATCATTTCAGTATCAAAGCCCCATGGGTTCCTAAGATTTCTTTAGTCCATCATTAGCAACAAAAGATGCCTAATACCTACTGTAAACACGATATTGTGCTCAACTGTAGATGAAATACTCCTCATGTTCAATAGGCACACACTACACAATAAACAGATTTGGCCCTGAAAGCAAATAACTCACTAGGTCTTCTGCAAGGTAGGTCTCAAGTTCCCCCTTTCACAAATGGCTTGTTAGTTAAGGTTCAAAGAATGCTTGGTTTTTTGTAGTCATTCCGAAACATTAGAACTTTGTAAAGGTTTGGCAACTTTTTAAGAAAGAGGAGTCAAATAGAGGTTGGAACCGCCCTCTAACTCTGAGGAAGAGAGGCTGTGATGGATTAGTTATAAAGTACTAGAGAGGGAAAAATAAATAACTGAAGAATGTTGTATCTTTGAGCAAAACAAATAAGTCACAAATGAATACATACAAAACGTTTCTATTTCTAAAACTTCAAAGCTGGGCAAAATCGAATTACATTATTTAGAGATGCAAAATAAAGTGGATTAAACATAAAGCAAAGTGAGACAATAACCACCACGAAGAGCAGGGGAGATGTCCCTTCAGGGCTGTGGGTGGCTGTCGGGGCCAAGGACATAAGAGGGGCTTCCTCCCGGGGTACAGGAAAGATTTTATTTCTTAGTCTGGCTGGTGTTTTCAAATGAGGACTTATTTTTTTACATAATAACTTTAAATAATTATATATTAATGTAGATAAGTGAGTGTGTTATAGTACTTTTTCATGTATGATATATTCATCATTTTAAATACTCTTTCATGAAAACAATGAAGTGTTTTCCTAGGATTGGCAATGAGAGTGTATGCCTAAAATAGAATAAAGGAGAATGTTGTGGGTAACAGAATTGAACTATATTTTGAAAGAGTAGCATGGCTGTATTCATTTGTCAAAATTTGTGAAAATGTATTCTTACAACAGGTATGTTTTTATTGCATGCAAATTATAGGTCACTTTTTAAAAATTAAGATTTATTTATTTGAAAGGCAGAGTTCCAGAGACGGGGGAGACACAGAGAGAGATCTTGAGGGAGATCTTACATAGCTGATTCACTCCCCAGAAGGCAAGAACAAAGCAGATTGAAGCAGGCGCTTTATCCACATCTCCTCCCGAGAGGCAGGGCCCTAAGCACATGGGCCATCTTCCACTGATTCTTTAGGCATACTGTCATGACACTGGGTTGGAAACAGAGCAGTCGGGACTCAAACTGGGTCCAGGTGGCAGGTTAAATTGTTATAATATGATGGTGGCCACTAACAAGAGAGTGTCATGTAGAAAATCAGACGGTCAGGAGCCATGGAAAACCAGTGGATGACAGAAGAGAGAGAGAGAGAGAGAGAGAGAGAGAGAGAGAGAGAGCAAGGCGGGCATGCTGAGCACAGACAAGGAGGTACAAGGAAGAGAGCAGAGGAAACCCATGCTGGAGACGCAGCTGAAAGTTCCAGCACAGCATGCTTTGAGATCTTACAGTCAAGTTCTGATTTTGTAGCGGAGGCTGCATAGTGAAGGTTATCCCGTGGCACTTCAGATGAGATCCAGGATGTACAGGAGTTAGACAGGGACGAGGATACTATGCTCAGAGTTTTCTAAGTGAGGGGGTTGTCATATTTTTGGTAGAAAACTAAGTCTTTTTTGTGACACTTTTCTGTTTCTTGACAATGCAAACATATATTAATAGATGGCCCCCAACCTAGAAAATCGCATATTGCATTCTCATCTTTGCTATGTCTTGAGGCGGGAACGAACTTGGCATATAGAGCTCAACCTCAAGCTTATAACTTTATTGCAGTTCTCTGACAGCAGTCAGCTGCTAGAGACACCACTGACTTGAAAAACCCCCGAAGTGGGGCTGGCGTAATGGCTCATTGGCTAATCCTTCATCTGCAAGTGCCAGTATCCTATATGGGTGCCAGTTCATATCCTGGCTGTTCCACTTCCCTTCCAGCTCCCTGTTTGTGGCTTGGGAAACAGTGGAGGACGGCCCAAAGCCTTGAGACCCTGTTGTCACATGCGAGACCTGAAAGAGGCTCCTGGGACCCAGCGCAGTAGCCCAACGGCTAAAGTCTTTGCCTTGTATGCGCAAGGATCCCATATGGAAGCCAGTTCTAACCTCAGCAGCCCCACTTCCCATCCAGTTCCCTGCTTGTGGCCTGGGAAAGCAGTTGAGGGCGGCCCAAAGCCTTGGGACCCCTGCACCCATGTGGGAGATCGGCAGGAGACTCTGGCCCTCTGGCTTCGCTCTGTCCATTTACGGCCACTTGGGGAGTGAATCATCGGATAGAAGATGTTCCTCTTTGTCTCTCCTTCTCTCTGTATATCTGATTTTGCAATAAAAATAAATAAATCTTAAGACAAAGAAAGAAAGAAAGAAACAAGGAAAGAAAAGAAACGAGGAAAGGAAGGAAGGAGGGAGGGAGGGAAGGAGGGAAGGAGGAAGAAAAAAAGAGGCTCCTGGCTTTGATCGGCTTAGCTCCAATCACTGTGGCCATCTGGGGAGTGAATCAGCACTTCCCTCTGTAAATTTGCCTCTCCTATAAAGGTAAATAAATCTTTAAAAAACAAAAAACAAACAAAAGGAAAAGGCCTAAAGTTCTAGAACTGGCTTTTCATCAAGGAATGACCATTTTGTCTCTAGCGTAAACAGCATTTAATTTGTCGGAAAAAAAAAAAAACCACTAAAATCAAGAGTATTTTACAAGTTCTATCAATGCATAGTAAATGTAAATTCACACTTTCTGACTTATCCAAATAACTCTCTTTAGGTACTTACAAAATAAACTGCTCCAAAACTTCCATGTCCAATTTCATGCAAACCGATAAAGAGTTCTTCGGGATCATCCTTGTAGAACAGGTCCGCAATCTCTGGGTCCTTGGGGGCCGCTTTAGGCATGGTGACCAACGCTGCAAGCACCCTGCTTCTGGAAGGCTTTCCCTCTCATCGACAGAAGCTTTGGTGGAGCTTCAGTACCTACAGAAAAGTAAGGTTTTCCAACCAATTATTTCTAGCATGTTTTGTTTCCCGGCAATGCAAGTAGAAGTTGAACTTAAAAGTCTATTTACTGGTCTTCTAATTTCACAAAAAAAGACATACTAAATAAAAATTAGGCAAAGGATCTGAATATCCATTTCTTTAAAAAGAAAGATAAGCAAATAACCATTAACCAATGAAAATATGGTCAAACTCCTCAGTTATTGGAGAAATTAAAATTAAAGTCACAGCAAGATATCATGTTATAGTGAATAGGAAGGTTAGATTCAGTCAGGTAAGAAGTATTGCGGGGGGCGGGGGAGAGTTGTGGCGAAATCAGAACTCTCCCATACAGCTGGTAGGAATGGCAAATGACAAAGCCATGCTGGAAAGTAGCTCTGCACGGGTGGGCATTCGTCTGGCACTTAACGATGCTGATGTAGACAACCACATAGGGTGCCTGGGTTCAAAACCCACCTCTGACTCCTGTTTCCCGCTTCTCATGATGCAGACATTAAGAGACAGCATGGTGACTCAGGTGATTGGACCCCTGTCACCTGTGCAGGAGAGTTAGGTAGAGGTCCCAGCTACTGGTTTTACTGTGGCCTAATTCTGGCTGTTATAAGCAACTGCACAATGAACCAGCAATTGGGAGCTCTCTATGTCTATGTCTCTCTCTGTCTGCCTCTCAAAAAATAACTATGTATATGTATATATTTATTTACTTATTTGAAGCCCTTATACAGAGTTATAATTTGATGAAGAAATTTTATTCTCAGGTATACACCAAACAGAAATGAAAACACAAAACATAAAAAAGCTGGTGCATGGATGTTTGTGGCAGGATTATTCATGACAGCCAGAAGATGAAAATGATGCAGACATTCATTAACTGGTAAATGGAGAACACATTCTATTATCGTATCACAATTATGTATCATGTTTGGTAATTATATATTAATTATATAACAGTTATTATATTATTGTATATTATAGGAAACTACTTATAGGCTATTTCCAGAAAAGGTAAACCTATAGGTACACAATATAGATTATTGGTTACCCAATACCGGAGGGTTTGAAAGACAGATAATTAAGACACAGGCTTCTTTTTAGGGTGATGAAAATATTCTAAAAGCATTTGTGGGGCAGATTACATAATTTTAAAATCCATCTACTGTTTACCTTAAAAGTGTAGAAGGCATTATAACTAATTATGTTTTAATCAAGTGGTCACTAGAGAAGCATAATTTTGGTATAATTAATACTGAAGTAATAATAACTAGCATTGACTAAGCACTACTATATATGTAGGCAACACTAAAAACTTCACAATTTTTTTAAAACTCTGTTCAACGGATTCACAGTGCATTGGTTTTACTTATTATCTTAATTCTGTAGATGACACTAAGCTTTTGAGAGGTAAAGCTACACTCTCTGGTCAGGAGATCAATATTTGTCAGCACTGCAGTTCAAACCAGGTCTCACAGCAAACCTCATGCTCTTGACTGACATGTGGTCTATTTGTATAGCAAAGTAGATAATTAACCTACATTAACCCCCAGAAGAAAAAACTATCATTTGGAGAGTATGCCACATGTCCACTTGAAGAGGCAAGCTATTCTATTGCTATATTAAATATTTGGAGTTCAAAGTTTCTATTAATAAAGATATCACTATGATGTGTTTATGTTATCTGCCAAGAGTTACACACATTTATTTGTTGAAGATCCTCTTTTAATTCTTCCTCATTAGAAAGTACTTAAATGATAACTTTCATCTTTACTTTTCATTGTAAATAATCTGTGTCCTACCAACAGACACTCTTATTTTGAATTTGCTATGGGATGCTTCTGTGTTTCTTTTTTGATCCATTAGAAAACGACATTATAAATCTGGTCAATGCCCAATCAAACTAATTTTTTCAAGTTATGAGCCAATGGACTTCAGTCTACAAGAAAAGAAAAGGGTCATTAATTAAAGAAGTAAAACTGGCAGGGCTAAGACATCTTTCTCTTGTCACAGGACAGGTACACTGCACTTTGTATGGTTAAATCATTAGCACATACAGGTCATCATCCTAACTGTCCCCTCACCTACTTGATTCACTTTTTCAACCAACACACGTCTACTCAAGTGCTTACTATTTGTCAGCCATTGTACTGGATATTGGCAGTAGAGTGAGTGGGATATAGTTCTTGCACTTAAAGTGCTTAGAGACAAATAAGGTGAGAGTTGCTAAACTATAACGACACATCAAGAATATAGGAAAGGGCTATAAACAAGAATTAAATAAAAAGATAAGAACTAAATTAAAAGGATGTCCATTTCACTCACTACTTCAAAATAATCACATAATTAAGACTATGGTATTAAGATTTTAAGGTTTGACAAAGATAGAATGCAACATTTAAGACAACTATGTTACAGCAATAATGATAGACCCAGGCTTTTCTTTCCTTTTTGTTTTAAATGTATTTTGGGAATCTAAAGTGCTAACAATTTTATTAAAAAGAACTGTAATAACACAAGTGGACAGTTATAACTAATGATTAAGAGGAAAAACAACTATTTTATTAATATAAGGCTACAATCAGGTGGCTCAATTTATTTTTTAACCTGGAAGTGAAAAAGTATGCCTTTCTAGGGAAAATAAAAGTAGTTCATTCAACATGGATGTGTGGGACATTGGGAGGGAGAAAACATGAAGTTGGTTTTGAGCCAAAGAAAATCACAAAAGGTCTTTGAAATCATATTAAGAAATTTGGACTTTATCCTGAGGGTAACAGGGTGTCTTTGAAGATTTTAAACAGGAAAAAGGATTGCCCTGCCAATACTGGTCCTTCAATCCTGGGCAGTCATCCTGCCAATCCAGGGCGCCATCATCAGCCAGAAGGCTGCTGTGTCAACATGATCGGAAAAGTCACTAGCTGCTTTTCAGTTAGAGAACTGAAAGAACAGAATGAAAGTTCAAAAAGTGTTACTGTCTTTATTACTTAGGTATGGAAACAGAAATGAGAGGCACTGGATTAATAAGAAGACATGTTTTGTTAGAGACTAGGCATAAAAAGCAAACTGTGAGATTCATTCTAAGAAAAATTAAAAGATATGTTGAGTAAGTTATCATAACTAAAATATTTTCCATCATCAAAACACATTTTAAGCTTCTGAATATTTTAGCTTCCAAGTGACTATAGCTAAGTCCTGTTGACAAATATTTGGGGAAAAACATAGATGATTGTTATGCTACAGATCAGAATGATTCTATAAAGAAATAAACATTTAAATATAAAAAAGACTATAAAAAATTCTAGAATAAATTTTAAAAGAATATTTAATTACTAAGCAAGATAACAGAGGCAAGACATAAAAACCATAATCAATAAGTTTGAATATATACATATTTGGTCATTTCTATATCCTCAAAAATAGAAGGGACTTTTGCTTCTATCCAACACGCAGTAACTGATACTAGATCTATTGCTTGCCACCAGAACTAGAATGCTGAAAAGCAACAACAGAGGGATGATAGCATTTCAAAGCAATGGGTATTAGGTTAAAAAAAAAAGACAGTGACCTCTGAGAACAATTCACAGTCCTGGTTAATTCCTTAATGGTCCCAGCTCCACACCTTCGGGACAGTTTTCCAGGTCATGGAGTGGAGAAGGGGAATCAGACGAGAGTTTAGGGGACCACAGGAGTGGAAGACACAGCGAGTGCAGAGTGAGCATGGTGAGTGACTCTCACAGGGTAGACCAGCAGACAGAAGACAGAGAGAGCTTGGGGGAATTACAGAGGGTCCAGTCTTCAGCGAGGACTGATCCGTGCGTGCAGGTAAGAGAACACTCACCTGGTCGGGGGGTCGGGGGGGCAATGCACAGAATCCAGAAAGCAGGCCCTAGCACTCATCAAAGGCTGTGGACAACACTTGTTCTTGGTAGCCAGAAGAAGAAATCACATAATTCATAGGACAATTCCATAGGATTCCCAAAACAATCCTGACTCAAGAGTGGAAAATAACTCGCTCTAGACTAAATTCTGACTGGTGAAGTATAACGTATTTCATTTAAAAAAAAGATTATTTATTTCAAAAGCAGAGTGATAGGGAGAGATCTTCCATTTACTGGTTCATTTTGCAAATGCCTGTATCAACCAAGTTGGGCTAGGCTGAATCCAACATCTGTGATCTGTGTCTTTCATGTGGGTGGCAGGGACTCAGGCACTTGGCCTATCATTTGTTAGCAGGAAGCTGTATCAAAAGCACAGAACAGCAAGAATTCGGAATGTCAATGTCCCAAGCCACACCTTACCTCATGGTGCTACGACACCCATTCCTCTAACAAATATGAAAAATGGTAAATAAGAAGGATCAAATTATTTCTACATTACATAACTGCATCCAAGAACAAAGCTAAAGAATATCTAAAGGAATAAAAAACTATCTGGTATCCAGAGAGGTGGAGAGCAGACCATGGTGTACATAGAGGATAGGGTAACCTATTGGGGTCTGCAGAGGACATCTGGTACCATAGCAGAAAATGGAGAACAGAACATATTGGAGAACTACCCAGCCAAAAGGTGACAGCAAGTATCTCAGGGAATATATAGACACCAAGGTCGACTGTGTCAGCCAGTGGACTTTGGAAGGGTTTCCTCATCCACAGATTGGTGAGACAGACAGCATTTCAGACCTAGTGCATTCACCGGGGCAGGGCCTGGTCGTTTTTCACATTGGGGCTCTGGGTTGATACTGGGTACTGGGGGGTTGGGAGGCTGGGTACAGCTTCTCCTCTTATCTCCCCTCTATTCCCAGAAATGGGAAGAAACAAAGTTTGAAAACAATGATTACATCAACTTTTCCTTAACCCTGGATCATTCCCACCCTGATCAACTATGTAAAAATCATCTAGAATAATAGTAGTAGTAATAATAATAATAAAAACTACCTAGTGTCCAGAGTGTAAAATGTTCACAATACCTAACATTCAATAAAATGATTACTAGGTATCAAAACAAGTACAAAATGTGACTTTGACAATGAGAAAAAATAATTGGAGTGAAATCAGAACAGATATAGACAACACATGTGCTCATATATTTTTTAAGTTACACGAAATACTGAACATGTAGAGATAAGCTATGAACAGACAAACTCAAATCTTTACTGGTAAAAGCTACAATGTTTGAGATAAAAATTACAATGCATGGGATGAAGAGCTGATGAGCCAGCATGGAAAAATGTTAATAAACCTGAAGAAACAGCAATAGGCGCTGCCTAAAATGAAGCATGGAGAGACAAAGGAATAACAACAACAAGCAAAAATCAAAATATTAGTGAGCTCTGGATCACCTGCAAGTGACCTCATATATGGCTAATTGGACTCCTTGAGGCAAAGCAAAGAGATGTTCAGCCAAAAAAAAAAAAAATAGCTGAAGAAATAACAGTACAAAATAACAGCAGAAAAATGATGACTATAGACCCAGAGATCTAAGGTTTATAAGCCTCAAGCAGATGAAACATAAAGAAAATTTCACTAAATCACATCATAATAAATGGTTCACACTTCTAAAAATTTTAAAGAGAATTTCATGAAAGGAGCCAGAAAAAAGAAAAAATGCTATGTAGACAGGCACCAAGACAACAATGACAGCAGATTCTTCCCTGTGAACATTAAAAGTTCAAGGACAGAATAGCACGGTTTTGAAAGTGCTGAAGGAAAAAAAAAAATCACACTAGACCTTCTCCAGTCAGTGACAATATCTTGAAAAAAAGGCAGAATCCGGTCTTTAAGACATTCAAAAGCTGAAGGAATCCATGCTCTGACCGCTGGGTGAACAGGAAATGCTAAAGGTATTCTGTGTGAGGTCCTCACACAGCAAACCCCATCAGGTGAGAATGCAGAAATACAATAAAGGATTGAAAGCACCCACATGCGCAACTATCTGTTTATCTATATATTTCTTCATTATTTCAATTTCTTTAAAATGAAACTGATTTTAAGCACAAATAACAAAGGAAGGGTGAGGATTCTAACATGAAATGTATGCTAACAGAGTCTGTAGTGAAATGGTGTATTGTCACCTAAATACAGACTATATTCTATTTCTAAATATACACATATAAACACATATACTTTAAATGTAAAACAAAAGTAAATTTAAAATGAAAGGAGAAAGTACTAACCAAATAAAACTGGGCTAGCTATATTAGCATCACACAAAGTAGATTTCAAAATATTATGTTGCTAATGAAAACCATCTAATAATGATAAAGGAACCAGCTGAGCAAGAAGACATGACAAATAATTAATTTAAAGACAGCTGAGCTTTGATTAAAGTACAACAGCAGGGCTCAACGTGATGGCTCAGTGGTCTTGCATGCACCAAGATTCTATAGGGGTGTTGATTTGTGCCCTGGCTGCTCCACTTCCCATCCAGCTCCCTGCTTGTGGTCTGAGGACAGCGCAAAGCCTTGGGACCTTGCACCTGTGTATGAGACCCCAGGAAGCTCCTGGCTCCTAGCTTTGGATTGGCTCAGCTCCAGTCATTGCTGCCACTCAGGGAGTGAACCATTGGAGTAAAGATCACAGATCTTTCTCTCTGTCTCCCTTTCTCTCTGCAAATCTCTTTCAAATAAAAATGAATGAATTCTTTTTAAAAAAGCACAAAAGCATTCAGTGGAGAAAGGAATGCAAAGGCACACATATGTGCAAAAACTAATTGTCCATAGAAACACACTGCCGAAAAGTTAAATCCAAATGGACTACAGAACTAAAATACAACTAAATTACAACTAAAAATCTACAACTATTAGAACTTACAGAAGAAAACACTGGAGAAAACTGTAGATCAAAATCTCTTAGATATAAACAAAAGCACAATCCATAAAGAAAAAACTGATTTACCTCTTCAAAAAGTAAAAACACTGAATGTGAAATATACTAAATAGAATTAAAAGACAGGTAACACATTGGGAGAAAAACTCTGCAAAATATGTGTCTCCTAAGAGATTTGAATAGAGAAATAAAGAAATCCTTGAAACTCAACAATAACCAACCCCCTAATCTCTGAAATGGGCAAAAGGTTTGAATAGGCACATTACCAAGAAAGACACACATAAACTAAGTCAAAGCCACGACTGGATATAACTACATGCCTGCTAGCATGGCTGGCAAAAATAACCTTTGCCAGGTGTTAGCAAGGAAGTGGAGCGGCTGGATCTCTCATATAGCGCAGATGGGAATGTACAATGGTAAAAGTACTTTGACAAATAGCTTGGCAGCTTCTTTTCAAATTTATACATACACCTAAAACATAACGTAGTCATCTCACTGCTATGTATTTATCCAAAAAAAAAATAAAAGTGTTGTATCCTTATAAGGCCACAGCAGTAGTGTTACTTCTAATAACCCAAACTGGAAACAACCCAGATAACCATCAACAAATGGACAGACGAACCATCTGTGGTACAAGCGGAATGGAACTCAGCAAGGAAATGAGCTATCAATACAGGTTGCAACATGGATGGATTTCAACATAACAACGCTGAGTGACAGGCAAAAAGGAGTAGACGCTTTCAAAATTCTGAAGAAAAAAAAAAGAAAAGAAAACGAGGTGACCGATGGTGTTACAGGTTGCCTGGGGACAAGTTAGGTATGTGAAGGGGTGGAAAGCGGAGATGAAGAAGCAGCATGAGATAATCTAACATATATCATATGAATAAACAGAAAAAAGTAATTCTAAGACAATGTTCAAAAAGGGGAACCTTTAATTATCCCACTTTGAACAGTAAGTACTGCATACGTGCACTGAAATATTGCAATGTGCCCCCTGCGAATATGTGCAATTATTAATAGAAATGTTTAGAGAAAACAAACGGGGCAGGAGCAAGGTTTTAGAAGGGATGGAGACACATATTACCTTCATTAGCATAAGGGCATCAGAAATATATGGGTTTACATGTTCAGAGTAACGATGGAAACTATTCATAAGGGTTGTTTCAGAAAGACAAAAATGAACAAAATGGAAAGGCAATTGAGGGGGCATCCTTGCAAAATCTGCATCAGTTCAAAGATTTTTCTTGTTAGCAGGAAAGTAAATGTATCCATGTACAAACACCCATTTGCGCATAAAACAGAAAACTCAAAGAAACAGCAGTGGTTCAACCCTGTCTGATAGCCAAGAGGCTAAAGTCCTCGCTTTGCATTTTGCCAGGATCCCATATGAGCGCCAGTTCTAATCCTGGCAGCTCCACTTTCCATCCAGCTCCCTGCTTGTGGCCTGGGAAAGCAGTTGAGGATGGCCCAAAGCCTTGGGACCCTGCACCCGCGTAGGAGACTTGGAAAAAGGTCCTGGCTCCTGGCTTTGAAGCAACTCAAATCCGGCCATTGTGGCCACTTGGGCAGTGGATTAGTGGATGGAAGATCTTTCCCTCTGTCTCTCTTTTGCTTTGCACATCTGACTTTCATTTAAAAATAAATAAATCTTTAAAGAAGAAAAAAAAGCAGTGGCTATTCATGACACAGAGTACATACAACTTCCGTAGTTAATCAAAGAAGTTAAAAATTAAAATAATTAGCTATTTCATTTCACCCACCAAATTGGCAGTCTAATACAGAAAAGGATATGTATGGGGAAGGACCAAGGGCATAGGGAAACAGTTATTGCTCGCAGAGTGGAATGGGCTGATTGCTGTCCCAGGAAAGCCTTCTGGCCGACCTCCAGGGTAGGATTTTTCTGTTTCCTTTGTTTTTACGAAACAGGTGGAGTACCACCTTGGGTTTTGCCCGAAGCAGCTGGGATTTCGGATGATTTTTTTTAAGGATTTATTTATTTTTATTGGAAGGGACATCTCAAAGAGAAGGAGACAGAGAGAGAAAGATCCTCCATCTGCTGATTCACTCCCCAAGTAGCCACAAGGCCCAAGCCGAGCCGATCTGAAGCCAGGAGCCAGGAGCTTCTTTCAGGTCTCCCACACAGGTGCAGGGTTCCAAGGCTTTGGGTCTTCTTCCACTGCCTTCCCACGAGCAGGGACTTGGAAGGGAAGTGTAACAGCTGGGACACAAGCCGGAGCCCACAAGGGATCCTGGTGTGTGCAGGGCAAGGATTTAGCCACTGAACTACTGTACCAGGCCTTCAGAAAATTTTTTTATTTCCTCCTATCTGTATTTTCTAAAATTTTTAGAAAAATCTAGTACTTCTTTTTAGAGGAAATGTGACATGAAACCTTTAATATAGTTTCAAAATAAAATAAAAATACTGTAATATGCAAGAAAGGCAATATGCATATTTCTAGAAAACAACTTAAACGAAATCAGGAAACTTTAAATAATTCTCCATTCTGTAAGCCATAATGGAGAATAGGGAAAACAACCAAGGAAAAAACTCAAAAATTAAAAAAAAACAATTTAAGATTTATTTTTATAAAGATTTATTTGTATTTGCAAGTCAGAGATAGAGAGAAGGAGAGACACAGAGAGATCTTCCATCCAGTGGTTCACTCCCCTCATGGCCACAAGAAGGGTCCCCTATGTGGATACAGGGACCCAAGCTTTGGGGCCGTCCTTGACTGCATTCTCAGGCCACAGGCAGGCAGCTGGAAGGGAAGAGGAGCAGCCGGGACAGGAACTGGTTTTCTTACAGGATGCCAGCATCACAAGCAGAAGCTTAACCTACCATGGCATGGTACTAGCCTGAAAACTCAAAAAAAAAATTATAAAATATTTCATTGATTTTATTAATATTTTCACATCCCCTTAGTTTTCATCATAATAAACAGTCATCAGATAAAACCAGACTACACAATTAATTCCCATTGTAAAAAGAAAGCTAAGTCACAGAATTGTGGACAGTACCTTTTTCTGTGAGGCACAAAGTACACTGTGTTGCTAAGGTTCATTTTTAGCAGCAATCTTCTTTTCGCCTTTATAACTTCAGGCTTTTGTGTATATGGTGCACCTATGGAAAAAGCAGATTAAAATACATAAAGCTAGAAACATAATTACAGGGCCCAGCGACATGGCCTAGCTGCTAAAGTCCTCGCCCTGAACACGCCCAGGATCCCATGTGGACGCCGGTTCTAATCCCAGCAGCTCCACTTCCCATCCAGCTCCTTGCCTGTGGCGTGGGAAAGCAGACGAGGACGGCACAAAGCCTTGGGACCCTGCACCCATGTGGGAGACCTGGAAAAGCTCCTGGCTCCTGGTTTCAGATCAGCGCAGCACTGGCAGTTGCAGTCACTTGCGGAGTGAATCATCGGACGGAAGATCTTCCTGTCTGTCTCTCCTCCTCTCTGTATATCTGACTTGGTAATAAAAATAAATAAAAACACAACTACAGAAGTTAGAATTGCTGGGGTGAGCAGTGTGGTACAGTGGGTTAAGCCACTGCGTGGAATGCCTACATCCCACTATCAGGATGCCTGGGATGGATGGAGAAATACTGCCTCTTCCTGTCTAGCTTCCTCCTAATGTGCCAAGGCAGAATCGGATGATGACCCAAGTATTGCTCCCTACCACTCCCTGGGAGACAAAAATGGCATTCCCTAATATCCTGGCCATGGCTTGGGTATGTCCCTGCAGGTGCAGGCATGTGGGGAGTGAACTAGGAGAAGGAAATGTGTGTGTGTGTGTGTGTGTGTGTGTGTGTGTGTGTGTGTGTGTGTGTGTGTGTGTCTTTCTCCTTCTGTCACTCTGGCTTTCAAACAAATTAATTCTGAAAAAGGGAAATTAATAAAATTAAAGCTCTATTTTTAAATGTAATATTATAAAGTTAAAATGTTTACAAATAAAGTCATATTTATCTGTGCCTGGACGACATATGTCAAAAGTAAGATTTTTCCCAACAGTGACACAGGTACCCTTTTTTGAGTAACACCTGGAAAACCCATGTGTCGTTAAATTTCAGAAGCCACATGAGGCTTCCACCGACGTACTCGTGTCCAGATAACTCAAAAGGGGCCACTGGTAGGCAGAACTAATCAGATGGATAGAATGTGGTCATACTACTGATTCTTGGTCAGAAAGGCTTAGGTTTTGAATTGCTTTTTCAATTAACATAGGGATTTACAGTGATTCATCTGCCATGTCCCTCCTGGGCTCTACCATAACCCATCTCCCTTATTTCTTGTGTAATGACTATTTTCTAATTGTCTAATAGGAAAATACATACTCAACAGAGAATCTGGGACATATACCCCCACTACTTCTAAATAACCCCAAATCCCACCTAGGATAATTTGACACAGTTTTCGCCAAACAACTATTTATTTTTCCATGTTCATGTTCATTTTGTTAGGTAGCTGTGATCATATTACCTATGTAATTTTATAGCCCATGTCTCTGAGGATTATGCCTTGTCTCCAAACACTGTTAAGATCATTTTAATGACTGCTCAGTGTTTATTTTAAGGAAGAGCCCCAAGTCATTCAGTCCTGTGTGTTTATTTTTCCACTGGGAAATACTTAAGTGCTGGTGGGGCCGGAGACTGTATGCCTGCAGCTCACCTACGAAACCTGGAGACTGGTGGCAGCTTTCCTCCACCTCACTCCCCACCCCCAGCTCCGGTTTCATCATCAATGCCTCTTGGAATCCACGAAACTTTTTCTGCTTTCCCAACTTCTTCCTACTAGAGCCCTCCACTTCTCTCTGATCCCTACTTGAACGTGTTCTTCCAAGATCTGCCAAGCTCTGTGGGTGACCGCAAGCTGCTGTCTTCCTGTCTGTCATTTAATGATTTCACACAGCACTATGTCCCAACATAGGCCTAAGTCCCACTCCCCTGTTTTCAAGTACCTAATGGCTTCTTTCCTGAAAGGCTCACACACAACTCACACTCACTTTGACACATCCCTTTCTCTTATACCTTAGGTTGGATTAATCCCCAGTGTTGCTTCAAATATTTCTATGTATCTGTTATTCATGTTCCATTTATGTAGCATTTTCTCTTTTCACCAGTTCTAGTCCTTCAGCCCGTTCTATATTTTCTGGAATTCATCTTAAAAACACTTTACCAAAATCTCCCTGAAGTGCTGTTCAAGCAATGTCACATTTTTGCTCAGATTTCTTGAGAATTGCCTTCCTTCCTACAGGGTGAGGCATAACGTTATCTAACAAACATCCAGGCTGGCTTCACAACACGACAGCCCAAATCCTTAACCTTCAGAACCAGGAAACAACGAGCTACTTACTACTCAGTCACATTTTCAAACATACTTTGTATTTCATTCCATGCTTTGTCTTTGCTTACATTGTCTCTCCTATCCACAAAGTACAGATTCCAATAGTTTTATAGTCCAGCTAAATGAAAAATATTGATAAAACCCACCATTTTATTCCTTTGCCTCAGTTTCAAACACATGGACACTTGAACTCAAAGTGGATGGCAAGCGTTTCTTCAGAGTAAGAAATATGTCTCAGCTTATGTTACTTTTCCAAAAAAAAAAAAAATTACTGGGCCAGTGCTGTAGCATTGCATGTAAAGCTGCCGCCTGTAACACTAGCACCGCTTATGAGCATCAGTGTGAGTCCTGGCTGTACTACTTCCTATCTATCTTCTTGCTGAGGTCCTGTGAAAAGCAGTAGCAGATGACCTAAGTGTTTGGGCTTCCACACCCACATGGGAGATCTGGATGAACCTCCTGACACCTGGCTTTGACCTGACTCAAACCTGGATGTAACAGCCATCTGGGGAGTAAAACAGCAGATGCAAGATCTGTGTCTCTTCCTTTTTAACTCTGCCTTTTAAAGAAATAAATACATACATGCATACATAAACCTTATTTTTAAAAAAAGAATTTCCTAAAAAAATATATTGTGCTTATTTATCTGAAAGGCAGAGAGAGAACGGGACTGGTAGGTGATATATCTCTCCTACTTGTCGGTTCTCGGCCATGGTCATGGCCCCGCCAGGCCCAAGGCAGGAGCTGGAAATGGTCTGGGTTCTTCCTACATGTATGGCAAGATGCAGCTCCTCGAGCCAGCACCTGTTGTCTGCGTACACATCAGCAGGTAGCTGGAACTGGACCTGAGAGCACAGCTCACACTGGACTTCACAGAAATCTACCGATGTCTCTTCCTCCTTCCCTCCCAGTGACAGAACTAAAAACAATCATTTAAATTTGTCCTTCTGCCAACACATTGAACAAGGCTATTTTTCCATCTGATGGGGTAGCATTGTAACAATTCACTAATAATGAAATATTTTTCACAAATTTTTTTCCCCTCTTCCTTAACCTCCAGCAAACGTGGGCACTCAGAAACGTGCCAAGAATGCAGTATTTCAGGTCTTGGGCCCTTGGGCCAACTAAACGATTCAGTCAGCTTACAGCTCAAGATTTCATCAGAGCTATGCAGCGGAAATAATTTTCTTCACTCTTCATTCTGAGAAATGGAAAACTTCCAAAGACAATAATTAAGTAAATTATTTTTATAGACATTCTAACTTAATAGAACACCGGATAAACAGTAGAAATATGAACTCTTCTCATAACTGCCCTTGCCCCCAAATCATTCAAGAACAATGAATCATGGAAGATTTAAGTTGCCTATTGATGTTTCAATCACACTTCTTCAGCAATAAGCTAATTTGAAAACTTCATACTATCTCTGTATGAAGAAGGGAGTTAAGAATCCAAACATTTTATACTGGAAAGAATTTCAAAGATCAGCCATCTCAATGCCTTTTTCTTTTTCATTCATTTCTCTGTTTCAACACTGAATCTTGGAAAAGTGATTCATCACACCTATGTGGCAGGTGTGCTCCCAAATTCAGATCCGGGATTTCTCTGGACCAGTGTCTGAAGACAGCAGGTTAAGGCCTAGCTCTCAGATAATGCCTGAGAGAGTACACGAAGATGACAACACCCAGATGCAATGCCTGGCTCCGGATTGGTTCCAGTCCCAGATCCAGTCATTATAACCATTCAGGGAGTGAACCAACAGATGCAAGTGTGCACTCTCTGTCTTCCTCTCCCTCTGTAACTCTGCCTTTCAAATAAATAAATAAATCTTTTTTTTTTGAAAGGCAAATATACAGAGAGAAGGAGATACAAAGAGAAAGATCTTTCATCCACTGGTTCACTCCCCAAATGGCTGCAATGGCCGGAGCTAAGCCGATCTGAAGCCAGGAACCAGGAGCTTCCTCTGAGTCTCCCATATGGGTGCAGGGTCCCAAGGCTTTAGGTCATCCTCCACTGCTTTCCCAGGCCACATGCAGGGAGCTGGAATGGGAAGTGGAGCCTCCAGGATTCAGGATTCAAACCAGTGTCTATATGGGACCCTGGTGGATGCAAGTGAAAATTAAGCCGCTAGGCTATCACACTGGGGCCAATATATAAATCTTGAAAAAACAAACAAACAAACAAAAAAAACAGGATTTCTGACTTGACATTCCAGAAAACTTTTTTTTTCCTGAACCAGAAAAAGGTGAGACTTTAGAATATAAAAAAAAAAGTTTTCAAAATTCTATATTTTGATGGGTAATCAAGAAAAATTTTAATGGAATAAAATATTTAATTTCTCTGGCATATTTCTCCTAAGTGTCTTGTAATACTTAAATATGTATAGTGTAGGAGTCACTTCTTAGGGGAACTCTTTAAGAAAAATAACACAAAATTATCACACCAGTGTAGGCAGAGTGGTGGAGAGTACTGTGGTATTCACATTAAGCCGCCATTTGCTATGCCTGCACTCCATACTGGAGAGACTGGTTAAGTTCCTGCTTTTCTGCTTCCAAGCCAGTCTCCTCCGGTTGAGGCTCCATGAGGCTCAAACTCCACATGAGGCTCCACCTAGGCCTCATGCCCTCTGTGGGAGACCCAGAGCCCTGTCCTGATGTCAGCTTTGCACAATACACTACCAGGGGGAAGATCTCTCCTTATTTTAAATAAAATTTAAAAATAATTTAAAAGCTTTTAAAGGTTAAAAAGGAAAATCTAAGTGGTACAGGAATTACATGAA